CGGGATGAGCCTGTCCTCGATAAGAGAGGAGGCTTCGCGGGCCGTCCAGGTCCCAAGAGTAAGCTGTCAACATGCAAGTTCTGGCTGAAGTCATGTGACTTGCCATCTTATTCCCGCACTTGGGTACGGAGTAGAGCCAACACTAACGAGCGGAGAGAGGAGGAAAGTGTGTTCCATAGTCGGGGAGATTAGTGAGCTCAAGGGACGAATATGATTGGTGGATAGGCCGTATCTTGCCCCCTCCCCGTTCCGTCCCCATAATTCCCTTGCTCCATCCTCGGCCGTTCTCCACCCGGTCCGTTCCGGATTGCTCCGGATTATTCCGGCGCTTATCGTCCGGAGGGGCGGTCCGCTTCCGTCATTCCAACATAAAACTCGCTGGTGTAAGACGGATCACTCCGGCAGACGTCTTTGCAAGTGATACCCCTTGCTACTGATTTGCGTCTCATTGCTGTTCGGCAGTTGTTAACCTTTGTTGAGATAAAGAGACTGACGCAAGCCTGAGATAACAACCCCCATTTGAGATACCTGTCTGAAGATATGCGTACTGGGATGGTGGTGGAGGATGGGGTCTTTATCTAGGAGAAATTGGCGAATGTTAGGCTGAGATATCCTTCTTAACGCCGTCAGCCTCGCCTACAGGCTATCTGAGTAGCTTGCCGTAGGTATTCCATCAACCGCTAGATGGCGCCAGTACATTGCCTTACGGTGTAATCGTAAACAATGCGTTAATCCGTCTCTATCTGATGCCCGCATGTCAAATAGTTGTGAAGGACTTCACTATCTCTAAGGTATTACACGATTTCCAAAGGCAACCCCAAATATAGCTCTTCCCGCCACTTTCATACGTGAGATTTCCGAGACAAGATACTTACTCCGGAGCCCAGAATGAGCCAGTGCAGTCTTGAGTTTCCTCTCCAAGCGGCTCAAAGGGCCATTAGTTTGTGATTATCTTTGGTTTTATATTCGTTGGAACACTAGGCTCAAACGGCGATCCACCCATAATAACTAACATCAAGCCTTACTATACCTTGGTACTTTCTATCTCTAATTCTTGCGACTACATACGATCGCGGGGGCGACGCAGAATGCGTAGATTTATGCTGATGAGCACGCGAGGGCGGGTGTTTTTAAATGATTGACCGGCCTGACCTAGAACTACTGACATATCCCGGTGAAGCGATTCTTGCGGTTACTTCACTCGCGGATAGGATTGGATTTCTCACTTCAATAATTACCAATGATTTCATTGCTGGCCGAAATTTACAACACATGGGAGCATATGGAATTCATGTGGAAAGGTAGAATAATTCTACCGATACAGTCACACAGGAACACTTTGCCGCAATATTGAGTTATTCGATTCTCAACCAAGCCTGCAGATCTAGTACGGGAGGAACATCATCGGAATATTTCCGAAAGTGTCGAAGTAGGTCTGATTGTGTGTTGTGTTGCCCAGCAACGCTTAGTGTTTATGTCCTCCTTTGGTCACATCGACCATGCAGTTAGGAAAGCAAGTTTGCAGCGCCAACAACGAGCTGTTAGGGCCGTAGGCAGTTTCCATTCATCTCGTCGCCGGTCCGAAATCCGAGTACTAATTGCGATAGAACATGACTTGTACGAAGTATGAATGTACAGATATGCTCAGCAGATCGCCGGACCGAAGATTTTATCAAGTACGGAAAACATATTTGACACGTCGCCGACCTCAATGCTTGGCCGAAATTCTATCCAGTCTTCGGCAGTCGCTCGAGTCCTGGTGAATAGGAGTAATGAATGCGACGTCACACAGAGACGGAGCCGAACATGCACAGCGCGAGTTCTCTATTTCCCGAGATGATGACTTGGCGATACCAAGTCCACAAGGGTTCTTGGAATGCGATCAAGATCGAAAGCAGAATATCCCCCGTGATCCTGTACAGCTTCCGTACGGCAAAGTTTGAGGCTTGAAAGGCAACTATGGATATGTCGTGAGTAGTGCAAAACCTTACACTTAAAACTTCAATTTCATTCCGGAGACCTCTTCGTTAGCTGGTATCCGTTGGGAACACCCGTTCGCAAGTAAAGTTTGTGATACGTGCAACTAAGGGTCCCACTTACTCACCGACGTCTCCTCCAAGCTCCAAAGCTCAGCCTATCCTTAAATGAAACCCTTGGTTCTCTCATCGCAGCTCAGTCTTATGGAAAGTATCGTATAGTCGTCTACTCCTTTTGGCTTCATTTCTTCAAACATTAGGATTCACGACTTTGTTTTGTGGGGCGTTTGCGGGCTCGGTCAAGCTAAATCAGACACAAACGCCAGACAATTCCCGGTGGGCGCGACACTTCGCTGGCACCGGGTGTAGCCGAGTTGGAGGCGCAGGCACGAGATCTGGGGGCACAAAGAACGACCTTCGGGCGCTGTGGTTGCCGAAAATTGTGGCTGAGAACACTGCCTTCGCTTCAATCTGACATTAGAACACTTCGGATGGAGATATGCCTATGGAATGGAAAACCTCGTGTAATCTTTTCGACGGTTGCAATGAGGATGCGAGGCCTAGAAGAGCTGACAAGCAGAACCAAAGTGGCAGAGATGCACAGTAAGAGTAAGCACCTGTGCCGCTGCGCGGCAGGCAGTTGCGGCAAAAGATGTCGATCATTGAACGATGGGGGCCAGGGGGCCATTTGCAAAACCCCAAAGGATCAATCCAGACATGATCAACCTATTCAGGCTTTTATCAGGAGTCAAAAACGAGAGACAGAGCCTGCAGGGAAGATCATGACCGGCATGGGCAGCATTGGGCAGCCTACGGAGTACTGTCAGACTGACAGTGCCCTTACTGCACGTAATTTTGCGAAACGCAGATCATCCCGTCTTGCCCGTTCGTCTAGTCACGAGGTCGTGAGACATCCAGTCTAATAATGTTCTGGCTGTCTGACGGATGCGCTGCAGGTTTGCGGCAACCCACAGGAGCTGGAAGCGATGCTACCACAGCCCTGATTACGTCGATTTTGGCCCATTCGTGTTCCCAACACGGTCTAGGTGAAATGGGCTTCCACAAGAGCTTTAGGTGAAGTGAATGCTCGTGCGTACCCAGCTCCCCCATCGCCCCATCGCCTCATCGCCTCATCGCCGGGGGACTGGCGGCGAGCGGAGCTCTCGAGACGGACGGAGCTTCGACCCAAGTGCCCCGAGGGAAATCAATCTGTCAACAACCCTGCCATCGATGGGCTGGGTAGCGGGCTGGCTGAGATTTCGTTCTGCCAGCTTGACAGCTCTGCTACGGACAGCCAGTCTCTGCCAAGTTCTGGACCGATTCTGCCATCCGATTGTGCGGGCTGCATCGAGGGTGAACGCTAGGACTCGAAGAAGACCTGAGCCCAATTTTGGGTTCGAGACGGGTTCGACAAGCGGCCAAGCGCCCATGCCAACCACCCGAAGTCGGGCTTTAGACTGAACTCAAAGAGACGCCGAGGGGAGGAAGGGCGGTTAATTACGAGGTCTGTCAACCGATGGAAAGAGAGAGGCAGGGACGCCGTTGTGTGCCGTCGGGCGGACATGTTTTTATCACCATTGTGTATAGGTTCACAAATCAAACTTTCCTCTTTGAATCGGCATACCGAGAATCTCTCACAGGGACCCCCAGAAGTCTCACGGAAAGGCGAGACATTGCTTCTCCGTACCATTCTGTCCGCCACCTGAGACTTCTGAGAGGGCGAGAAAAGTCTTCATTTCGACATCCGGTTCCCCGTTACGAAAGCGAATCACCAACGGCGCTTGGCTACATGGGTGTCCCCATGCATCTCCATGCGGGGAAATTGGAACCATCGACTTGTTTAGCAGCTTAGGGCCCCGACAACCCGAGTGAAGGGCAGCAGAGCGGTGGAGGAGCGTGCCAGAGTGCCAGAGTCCCAGGAGCTGAGCAGCTCGCGTCGTCACAGTGGCGTACACCAAGTTCTTCGTACTAACTACGAGTAGTTACAGACAGACAGGCAAGCGTGACAGGGCCCCTTGGTCTTCACCGTCACGACGAGTGGTCTGTCTTGTCATTCGTTCCATGTTCCCCTTGCAAAAACAATGCTGGTTGGCGACCCTTTACCGTTCCCCCGGGCCATCGCGCGAATCACACCTCATGGACCGCATTCTCGGATCATCAATGACCTTTTCCCTAAAGTTTAGCTGCATGCAAACTCGGCAACCATTTATCTCCCCTCAAAATACACAACTCGTCCGCCCCCTTCTTCCGATTCTCCTCGCCGGCTCTTTTTGCCCTTCCTCCTTCTCACTTCTTCGCCTCCTCTGTGCCTCTCTAGAGACACATCTAGCGTATCCATACCCTCCCTCCCTTGCGTCCCTCCCGCGCCTTTCCCAGATCGAATCAAGTCGAACCCCGCGCGGTAATCCAACAGAAGCTAGAATAAAGACGGCTTGGCATTGGGCTGGGGTGGGTGCCGGGTGGTAGTAGCTGACTCAGAATCCACGTCCCTACTTTTGCGAATCCCACTCCGTCCTCCCTTTTCCAACCCATTCCTCGGCGGCTCTTCTTTCAGCGACGGCCTTTTTGTGGTTGTTTCTTGCTCCGCCCCGTCCTTCTCTTTAAACATCTGGCTGTGCCCTTTCTGGCCTTGTCAAGTTCGTCCCATCTGCGTTTCCCTTTTCCCCACACTTTGAACGTCAAAACGTTTCCCAAAAAAGAGCAACCACTTCAGAATCCGTCCCTTATTCAGCGCACTGGGGATCCCGAGACCTTGGGACCATCGGCCGTTTTCAGCCAAAGGGCAACTGCGCAGTTCAAGTCTTGTCAAAGAAGAGCTATCAAGATCACATTGGGACACGGATATAGCAACCTGCGAAAAGAAGGGCCAGAACAACAGGGAACTCGCTCGGGGAGGGAAAGAGGCGTTTCGACAAAACGTACAAGAACCAACAATGTCAGCACCAGCATAACGGCCTTCGTTGCCGCCGCGCCAGCAGCCAGACACCGCAACCGAAACCCGACGACAACATTACCAATACAGAAATGTCGGCAGATGTGACGTTCGACATCGTCACGGCCAGTATCTGCGCCCTCCTCATCATTGTTCGCTGCGGCTACCGCATCCTTTTACGATGTAAAGTTCACGATACCTGCCACCGAATGTGGCACGTCGACGATGCCTACATGGCCTTTGCGCTCCTCCCGCTCATAGGCCGCACGACATGCATCTCGCTCTCCTTCTACCTCAACCCTACGCACACCTACGATGCCGCCACCGAGGAAGCAGCCGCGGCGCGCAATCTCAGTGTTGAGAAATTGGCAGAGTATTACATCATCTCACACAAACTGCTTATTCCAGCTCGCATATTCTATGCATTATTGTATGTCGCTTACACCTACGCCGTGCTATCCCGCCTCGCCCTCACTTTGGTGGTGGTGGCGGACTGCAAGTCAAGGCGGTGTGTCTAACGTGGCTCATTACTGACCGTGCCGTGTCTTTCGTGTAGCTTGTGGTCGTTGAAGCTCTGCCTGCTCAACTTTTACTCTCGCTTTGTGGACATCTTTGGATGGGGCAAAGCTGTCACGAATGCTCTTTGGTGGTTTATTGTTGTTACGTTTTTTGTTATCTTGATACCCACTCTAACGGAATGTCGGCCACTTCACTTGTAAGTCATTGCCTCTACTTGCCAACCGGGCACAACGGAACACACTCCTAGGCTTTGGGTCCATCTAACACGGTCATCCATAGCATGTGGTCCCCTGATCCTACCGGCGCAAACACCTGTCATCGAGCCCTCGGAAACCTCGTCACAATGGCTGTCTTCAATATCATTACCGATATCGCGCTCATCATCTTCCCCTTTCCCATCTTTCGCCATGTGAAACTCGACAGCAAAGTGTTTGTTTTCCCCACTCAATGTCTCAATGCGTGATTGTCTAAGGACTAACGCCTCCTCTATAGTAAGGTGCAGCTCGTGCTCTTATTCAGCATCGCCGGCGTTGTTGTCGTCATCACCATCCTGCGACTGCCCATGATACTGAACCAGGCAGTATCACAAAGATCTCGCTCAATGGTAGGTTTTCAGCCAGTACATCTCGAAACTCGACGATCGCCTGCTAACGAGCTCTATGCAGTGGGCATCCATAGAGATACTTTGCGCCTGTATCGTCGCAAATACAGCATTCTTTTACGCGTTATTAAAAGACTACCAGCGAGGTCACGATAGTCGCGGTGCAGGCTCGACCTACGCGCAACAGCCCGATTATTACATGCAAGCGAGCCCATCGCCAGAGTTGCGGAGGGGGTCCTCGGCGCGCTCCGACGGCCTGGAGGTGCCGGACCATTGGTCAAGGGAGAGCAGATCAAGTAGATCTAGTAACATTCCTATCATAGCATGAATGACGAGACGATGGCGTGCCAGTTGAATCTGTCTACCATCCCCGCGATGTCTCTAGGTTGCGACTAGAAACCCAGTCTGTCCGCTAACGCGGAAGACATGTGAATGTTTGGTCCAAAGGGGATTAGTGCTGACTTTGACGTATTGACGTAAGGGGTAAATCAGCCAAATATGGAATGTCACTGGTATTACAGGCCACCATCTGCATCACCAGCTTCATCACCAGTCCTTCAACTAGACTCTACCCCCGCTTGGCACCCGCCCTCGTCAACCCGCACCCTATCAATCTCGACTTATCGAGGCCAGACACGATGGCTGACCTTTCTACACTCTCAACCCTGCCATCCTACACTTTTGGCGGGCTCTGCGTCATCTCCGCCCTCCCATTCATCGGCATTCCATTCCCCAACCGCCGCGCCGCAGACTACTACGCCGGTAAAAGTGAATGGATGTCACAAATATTTGGCCGGCGCCTCAGCCCGCGACAAGCCGGATACTTTGGGGCAGCTTTACGCATCGCAGTAGGCGCGGCCGTCGTCGCCCCCGAGACGAGGGAGCCCGCGCTGATCTTCAACGGGGCTGTAGTCACGTACGGGACCATCAGGGCTTATGTAGATGGGCGACCTATGCTTCCGCAGTGGGGAATGCTGGCGGCGATTGCGGTTTGTCTAGGCTTTGGGCGTTTTTCGCAGGTTACCGGTGGAGGCTTGCCTCGCGACTGAGGGAGCGTTCTTACTTTGGAATGATGCTTGACTCAGATTCCAGAAGTTCGGGAGTATGATTGTTCATTGTTGCATGATGGGTGAAGTGGTTGGGAGTGCATGTGATCCCGGCCTTGGATTCAATTGCCACCAGGCATGAACAGCTTCACTTTTCAAGATTGTTCTAGGCAATGTGTCATTGTATTACAAGACTCAATATCATTTCGAACTCAATATCAGAACTCCGAGAGCATACCGTCAGCTGTTTTACACTTTCCCACGACCCAAGTACGCTTTAACCGCACTATCCGCCTGCGCTGGATTGACTACATGCACCAGTACACGATGATCCGGCCTCACAATGATCCCCTTACCCCCCTTGATATCCGGGACCACGCTAAACCAACTCTCAGGCAAACCAAGGCCTGCCAGATCTACAGCCCAGTCGCACGACGCGAATGCTGGATTCGCGCAGTGCAGCACGGTAAATCGATTGTAGGGCACAAGATCTAAGAGAGATAGCCCATCATTCGTGGTTCCATGCGGCAGCCTCGCCCCAGGACACGCTCGCGGCAGGTAGACCGTCGGGTCATCAAGCAAAGCTTTGGTAGAGGAAGGATCGTCGTAGATGAATCCGAGCTGGAGGGCAAGCGAGTCAAAGTGCTTGCTCGCCTCTGTGACAGCTCCGCCCGCCGCCGCGGAAACGGCGAGCCGTTGGAGAAATTTGTCCATGGTGAGCTCCGAACCCGGCGCTTCTTGCGCCCTTGCTTCTTGGAACTGGATCGCGAGGCCAACGAGAGAGGTACTGACGGAGTAGAAAGCCGCCTCACTGCCCTTGGAGTACTCAAGATTCGCGAGTGCGACAGGTCTGCGCTCGCGGGTGAAGCTGGCGAGAAGGCTTTGAGTGCCTTTTCCATTGATGACGGAAGCTAGCTTCCATACCAGGTTATGTGCGTCCGCGATGCCCGTGTTGAGACCAAGACCACCCTGAGGCGGCAAGCTGTGAGCGGCATCGCCGACGACAAATACACGGTGCGCCGTATCGCTATATGAGGATGCCACGCGCGGAGCTGTCTCCCAGGTGGTTCGAAGGACCTCCGAGTACTGCAGACCTGGGAGACAGGCCTCAATTGGTGGTGCCTCTGACGAGGAGCCCATGACGGGCGTAACGTGGACGAAGGAGGCGTCAAGGTCGTGTGCAATGAATTCGCTGGGGTGCTCTGGATGGAAGCAGAAGTAGAGCATGGCCTCACGACCTGGTGGAAGCGCCGCGCGGAGACTGCCTTTGCAGACGATGGACTGGTAGACGTGCCCTGGTCCCATGGATTCAAAGTCGATACCGGCCATCTTGTCTCGCACAGTCGAGTTTACGCCGTCGGCCCCAATGACAAAATCAGCCTGGATGCTATGTCGCGTTGTTTTCCCGTTATTTTCTCGTCCAGTGAGACTGCTGCAACAGACGACGCAGCCAGATTCCTGTGAGTCGTTGATGTCGACAGCATCAACCTGCCATCCCCTCCTGATTTGAACGAGACTTGTCTCAATGACAGCTTTCTCGAGCAGGCGTTCTAATTCCGGCTGTGGCCAATTCACCAAGGGCTCAGCTGTCAAGTTGTGCATCTCATCATCCTGGCGCTCATATGGAAAGCAGCCAATTTCGGCATCGGCCAGGCCATAGACGAGCCGCACCGATCCGGCATCTTTGGGCTTGGCTGCTTGTTGCCGGATATAAGTCACATCTAAGCCAGCCTGGCGGAATATTTCGAGCGTCAACGGGTTGATTGTGTGGGCTTTGGGGTGCTCTGATACGTTTTGGCGTCTCTCGAGGATGATACACTCGATGTTTTGGCGGGCGAGGAGATAGGCTGTAAATAAGCCTACCGGTCCTGCCCCTGCGATGACAACGCGCGTCTTTTCCATCTTGTGCGTGTGTATCAGTGCAAAAAAGAAGAAAAAAAAACCCCCCCTGCTTGTGATATCACGAATGGTTGGCGATGATCACCTAATGCCAAAAATGAGTATGGGGAGAATGGAATCTCAGCTATGTGACCATCGCCAAGACATGGTGATGTGGGATATCCGAATATGTCTTTAAATGACTGAGCGTCTGATCTCCCTTTGGTTACCTTGGCTGCAGCTCACAGGTCTGTGCTTTCTTTCCTCTTTCTGCTTCCGCTGAGATCAAACTAAGTGAACTTTTATCTGCATGACATTCAATGTTGTAGCATAACCCTTGCCTACTCACTTTATACTCCGTCATCCGAGTGAGGTCCTTGCGACAGATTTCCCTATTATGATTGGATAAGATTACATGGGCCTCAGGTAAGTCTGGCTTCTCGAGTTCACAGCACCAGATAGCCCTTCTGTGCTGTGATAGTCCGTTTTCTTGAGTTCACTGGTGACTTCCGAGTGGCACACAATGGTCGACAGGATGCTGAAAGACATCGGTCACTATTACTCATATAGGTTTGGCGTACTAAAGAGTTTAGGCTGTCATCATGAACTTAGGCGGCCGGTTCTGCGTCTCGGGAACGTCAAACAGACCGGTTGCCGTTTACTTCGTCAGTGCTCCAAGAGTTCAATCAGTTTCTAGGTCGACGGGTTGCCATGATGTCAAGACAGCCTTTCGCTCCCGTATCCGTACCCCCCCTCTTTGTTGACGTTTAAGCTCAGAGCGAGTTCAAATAAGGTTTGTTGCGCGTTGATTGCGAGCGCGAAAGCTCTATGCGGCTCACACTGTTTGCTTTCATGTGCCGGGCCATCCGTTCAACGGACGGGCCGGAAATTCTATTCGAATACTCCGTACTCGCATCCATTTCCCCCCGGCTGCTTACACATAATTCCAACCTTATACTTAGACACCCAAACTATAGTCGACTGCTTTTCTTTCCGTTTTAGGTTGGTTAAACTTCCACACCACTCGGAGCCACTCCCGACGCTGGATGATAGGGAGCGGGCTTAGACGCGAATTCCCGTCCCTCCGTGCAGTCTGCAGCCGTTGCAGTTTGCTGCCACACCTCAGCGATCCATCCCATCTTAACAGTCCTATCTGAGCAGTTACTTCGGCATGGTCCAGAACATGTAGGAGAATACTTAATGATAGATAGTTGCAGACATTTACGTGCCTGGCGCGTATGCCTCCAATAAAATGTGGTAGCGGTGACTGTATATTCAGAATAATTCATCAAAAGCAATTCAACGTATCGAAGGGCGACATTGCAACGCACTCTAGGCTTCACTTTGATCCCACATTTAACACTTTGGAGAGTCGAGGTCGAACCAAGTGAACTTCAACAACACCGTTTTGCCAGACAGGCTTTAGCGGCTGAGCGTATATACATCTGGGTCAATTGCAACCATGCCTGCCACACTCTCTACCGATAACAAGGCAGAGATAGAGGGGCCGATATTGCAACCTTCGCGTCCGTCTCGCCATCGTGCCTCTCTTCTTAGCTTTCCCGGCGCCCCACCTCCCAGTGACGATCGGCCCAGGTCCGTACACATATCTGCGGACGAATACAAGGCCATCACAGATCTCGTCGATCTAGCAAAGTCTTTCCTCGAGAAGCAACAACAAAATGGCGACGTCTCGACATCATCAACTCAAAGCGACTCTGTTCTCGACGTCTCGAAGGCGCCGAAGCAGAATGGACCCCTCGACCCCTTTGGCGACAACTTTGATGCCCGGGAATGGGCCAAATCCTTTTATCGCCTCCGCTCCGACAGCTGCGAGGTACGTAAGGCCGGCGTCGCTTTTCGCAAGTTAAACGTGTCGGGCTACGGGTCCGATACTGCGTTCCAGACTACGGTGGGCAACGCGTGGTGGCTCAAGGCCGCGGGGGCCATGCGTGGCCTACTACGTATCAAGCGTCAACAGGTGCGCATCCTGCATGATATCGAGGGAGTCGTCAATGACGGTGAGATGCTTTGCGTTCTGGGTCCGCCAGGCAGTGGCTGCTCGACCTTTTTGCGTACGATGGCAGGAGATACGCAAGGCACGCAGGTGGGGGAGGATTCTCATCTCAACTACCGCGGCGTGAGTGCCGATGAGATGAAGCGTTACTTCAAGGGCGACGCCATTTACACCGCTGAAGAGGACGTTCACTTCCCAGCACTCTCAGTAGCGGACACACTCTTCTTCGCAGCCCGCGCAAGAGCACCCAGGACCCGGCCCGCGGGGCTCTCGGCGGACGAGTATGCGACGTGGGTGCGCGACGTCACCATGGCCATGCTGGGGATCCAACACACGATGCAGACACCCGTAGGCGGGACCGACGGCGACACAGTACGCGGTGTATCTGGAGGCGAGCGCAAGCGTGTGAGCATCGCCGAGGCGGCGCTGAGCTTCGCCCCGATCCAGTGCTGGGACAACAGCACACGCGGACTCGACAGCGCCGCGACAGTCGATCTTTGCAAGACTTTACGCGTCCAGAGTGATATCATGGGCATGGTGAGCGCGGTAGCCATCTATCAAGCTCCAGAAGAGGCCTACGAGCTGTTTGACAAAGTCCTGGTTCTCTACGAGGGGAGACAGATCTACTTTGGAAAGACGACAGAAGCCAAGCGTTACTTCCAGCGGCTGGGATTTGTTTGCCCCAAGATTCAGACGACGCCTGACTTCCTGACGTCCATGACTAGTCCGGCCGAGCGTGAGGGCATCGTGAAGCCTGGGTACGAACAAAAGGTTCCACGTACCCCCGATGAATTCGCCGAGGCATGGCGGACGAGTAGTCACCGCCGTCAAGTCGAAGAGGAACTGGACACATACGACGCATCCTTTTCTCTGAACAGCAGTGGCCCGCGAAGCTCGCGCACACACTTTGCCGAGTTCCTGGAGAGCAAGAAGAGCGATCAGTCGTCTATGCAGCGATGGAAGTCTCCTTACACCCTCTCATACCCACGCCAAGTTCTTCTATGCCTGTGGCGCTCCCTAGCGCTGCTCAAGGCCTCGCCGCAGATGACGGTGATGATGCTCGTCCTCAACCTCTTCCAGACGCTCATCGTTGCCAGCGTCTTCTTCAGGCTGCCCGACACGGCTGATTCCATGAAGTCGCGCAGCACGTTGCTGTTCACGGCAGCGCTGGTCAACGCCTTTGGTTGCGTACTCGAGGTGCCGACCTTGTACGCCAAACGGTCCATAGTCGAGAAGCATGTCAGATATGCATTATATCACGCTTCTGCCGAGGCCACCGCCGATTTGGTCATGAGTTTGCCTTACAAGCTGCTCAACGCCATCACGGTCAACACACTGTTCTACTGGATGTGCAATATGCGCAACGAAGCTGGGTCATTTTTATACTTCGTGCTGGTCCAGTTCGCCATGACTCTGGCCGTGAGCTTACTCTTCCGGCTCGTTGCTTCCGTCACAAAGAGCCACACGGCGGCTATGGCGCCATCGACTATTGTGCTGCTCACGCTGGCGCTGTACACGGGGTTCGCGGTCCCGCCCATGTATTACAAGCCGTACGCTTCTTGGATCGCCACGCTCAGCCCCGTGTCGTATGGGTTTGAGGCCCTCATGATTAACGAATTCGGCAATGGACGCAAGTTTCCTTGCAAAACCTTTCTTCCGGCTGGCCCAAGCTACGACATGGATGCTGCGAGCATGAGTATGATGGCACGGACGCGCGTGTGTGCCTCGCAGGGAGGTACGCCGGGCGAGACATTCATCAACGGCAGCGCGTACATCACTGGCGCGTTTCGATATGCGGACAGCCACCGATGGCGAAATGTCGGCATCGTCTTTGCATTCGCAGTGGCCTATTTCGTGTTGCATCTCATTGCCACGGAGATGGTGAGCAGCTCAAAGAGCAAAGGAGAGATGCTTGTCTTCCCTAGAGGTAAAGTCCCGACGAGGCGGACTGGGGAGCCGACACGAGATGTGGAAGACCAGATCACAAAGGGGAAGACAGAAGCACCGGACCGTAGCGGCGGCCATGATGGTGATGATGAGGGTGAATTAACCATCGACCGTCAGACGGCTATCTTCCATTGGAGCAACGTCTGTTACGAAGTCAAGATCAAGAAGAAGGAAACGAAGCGCATTTTAGACGGTGTAGACGGGTGGTGCAAACCGGGAACGCTCACTGCCCTCATGGGCGTCTCGGGCGCCGGCAAGACCACCCTTCTCGACGCCCTCGCCTCGCGCCTGTCAGTTGGTGTGGTGACGGGCGAGATGCTTGTTGATGGGTCCCCCCGAGATGCCTCCTTTCAACAAAAGACAGGTTACGTCAAGCAGCAGGACCAGCACCTCCTCACGTCGACGGTGCGCGAGGCTCTGACTTTCAGTGCCGTTCTCCGCCAGCCGGCCCGATTTTCCCACAAGCAGAAGATTGCATACGTTGACAAGGTGATTGAAATTCTGGGTATGGAAGAATACGCTGATGCCGTTGTCGGCGTCCCCGGGGAGGGTCTCAATGTTGAGCAGCGTAAGAAGCTTACGATCGGTGTTGAGCTCGCTGCTCGTCCTGCACTTCTTTTGTTCTTGGATGAGCCTACCTCGGGCTTGGATTCTCAGACAAGCTTGTCGATTTGTACTTTGCTCGAGACACTGAGGCAAAATGGGCAAGCCATCTTGTGTACAATCCATCAGCCGTCAGCGATTGTAAGTTCCAGCCTCTCCTTTTCATACTTACGCACTTCTTTCTTCCCCAATCCGCTCGCATTTGTAAGACTTCTAACATGGAACAACAGCTCTTTGAGCGGTTCGACAGACTTCTCCTTCTTGCTCGAGGGGGAAGAACCGTCTACTTCGGGCAGATTGGGCGCAATGCCAAGGTTTTGGTGGACTATTTCGTCCGCAATGGCGGACCGCGACCCAAAAAGGGCAAAAATCCAGCCGAGTACATCCTCGAACAAGTCAAAGCCAGCGGGAGCGGGAAAAGCGATGTGGACTGGCCCGAAGTATGGCGACAAAGCACCGAGTATGAAGAGGTCAAGGCTCATTTGGCCAAACTCAAAGAAACAAAACACCAAGATGCAACGCAGCAGCAGCAGCTACAAGATGATCCCCCCTTCGCCGCTCCCACAATCACCCAGTTTTTCGAGGTGACCAGGCGTTTGTCCAGACATTACTGGCGCACTCCGAGTTACATTTACGCAAAGATTCTCTTGACTTTTGGCTCGGCTCTCTTCATCGGCCTCTCCCTGCTCAACCTACCAAACACGCAGGTGGGCATTACGATCCAGACCATCGCCATCTTCATGTTCCTCACAACGCACCTCAACCTGATGCAACAGATAGTCCCCATATTCGTGTCTCAGCGCACACTCTACGAGGGTCGTGAGCAGCCTTCACGTACATACTCATGGGCCGCCTTTATGGGCGCGCAAATGATCGTCGAGATGGCCTACAACGCGCTCATGGCCCCGCCGGCGTTTGTGGCGTGGTACTACCTCGTCGGGTTACAGCGTAATGCAGCAGAGACAAACGACACCGCCGCACGCGGTGGGCTAGCTGTGCTGTTTATGCTCGTCTTCTTTTTGCAAGCAAGTACTTTTGCGCACATGATCGGGGCCGCTTTTGACCTCGCCGACCAGGCCGCCGGCATCGGAAATCTCTTGTTTGTCATGATGTTCATTTTCAACGGCATCCTTGGGACGCCTCCTAAGTTCTGGGTTTGGGTGTACCGTGTTAACCCCTTCACCTATCTCGTCGAGGGATTATTGGGCACAGGGCTCGCGAATGCCAAGATCCACTGCGCCGAGAATGAGTTTTTACTCGTGAATCCGCCTCTTGGACAGACGTGTGGCGAGTACTTGCAGCCCTTCATCGCCATGGCAGGCGGATATCTCGATGATCCGTCTGTCCTGGACAACTGCAAGTATTGCACAACGAACAATACGAATCAGGTCTTAGCAGGGGTGCATGTTGAATTTAGCAATCGCTGGCGCGACTTGGGTATTTTGTTTGCGTACATCTTCTTCAACGCTATCGCTGCTTTTGGGATATACTATATCCGCGTGCCTAAGCCCAAGAAAGATAAAGCCAAAGCATCACCATCACCACCACCACCATCATCATCACACCAAGATGGCAGCAATTCAGAACCTCCGCCCAAGTTCCCGCTGGAAGAGTCAGAGAAACAAGCGGACAGGTCTCTGCAGATCACGCGGGCCGGCAAGGTTTTTGGCTCAATTCGCTCGTCTATTCATGGAGGCATACAGGGGCTTGGAGGCAGTGGAAAGAGATACTGGGATGATGACATGGAGAACGCCGACGACGCTCAAATAATTGGCAAGGAAGCAGAGTTGGGATATTTGAGTGAGGGCGAAGAGGGGAACCAGGAGGTCGATATTCGTGATTTCACTATGCAAAGGTCACCTGTGACTCCTCAATATTGGATTTAATGGCAGGAGATTAATGCGTTTGATTGGAGTAATAGCCTAAATTGTACCATCATCTTGAAAGGCATATCTTGAGATAGTTATTCTTATTTGGATTGAGTACCGATGATACAACTTACACATACTAGCTAATAGTTTTCTGGTCCATCATTACCACACGTGAATAAAACCTCACAAGGTACTGGGACTTGGAAATATTAGCACAGGGGAGTCATCGTTTGGAAGAATACTACACGCAACACCGAGATCATCGCAGGGAGATGTTCGCGTGTCTGATGTCGAAAGCACATATGAAGAACTTGCATGGACGTGTTTTGAAACGAAAAAGCGAGAAGATAGGTTCATCAGATCTGGTACCTGCTTAAAGTATTAATGACTACTCTCCGTGCCAGTTACACGGTCCTCCTTCAACCGACACTCAATCACATTCCCCAGACCACGGCAGATCCACACCTTGACAATCTTCAATCCAGACGCCTTGACAACCTTACCCAAGTCTTGAAAGGTCCTCTGGCGACCGTTGGGACTAGCAGTTAAGACAAACCCTGCAATGAGCCCCATGGCCTGGAATTCACCGTAATTCTTCAACAACGGGGCAGGCGCATCGGGAAGCAGAGCATCGCCGCACGTCGGGTGCATCATGTACTCGCCAATAAGCAGACGCGACTTTTCAGGCGCCATAGCGTTCCTGATGTGCGTAAACATGGTGGTCAAGTCTTCATCCTGCCAGTCTACAATGACCGACCGGAACCAGTACACGTCGGCGCCCTTGACGGGATTCTCATTGAAGAAGTTGTGAGGGGTGAGCTTGACCGCGCCCGAGGTCAACGCCTGCGGATCCGTCTTGTTCCAGTGTGCCGTGGCGTGTGCGATCATGCCAGGCTGGTCCTGGACGATGCCGACGAAGTCATTCTTCTGACTAGGGAAATTTGTACGCAAGGCCTGGATCGAGCTGCCGAGTCCACCGCCAACGTCGACGATCACGGCGCCGTTCCGGAGGGTAGAGTCCCAGGGGTACCCCCGTACGTCGGTCAGCCCATGAAGATACTCTCCCAGCGAAGCGAGCCAGAGGTCGAAGCAGTCACGCCACTCAGGGTGCGCGTTGAGGTATTCGAACTGGCCCATGCCCTTGCCGATGCTTTTGGCAAACGCCGAGTCTCGCGGCGCGTAGCTCGCACAGAGGACGGGATCCATGAGCAGGCCAGGCAACACATTGGCCGTCGGAAAGAGGAAGGAGGCGTAGCGGACAGAATTGGCGAGGCGTTCATTAGTAGCAAGGGCCGTGGACGCCTCGTCGTTTGCAAAGACGTTAAGAGCCGTCTCGGCAAAGATGTGATGGGAGCAGAGGGTCCGCATTACAAAGCCCAGCTTGCTCGCATCGACGATACCCGTCTTGGAAGCGAGAGCTTCGAGCGTCATGGGGCCATTGCTTGCCAGAAGCTGGGGTATCCCCCACTCGACAGCCATGTGTAGCGCGCGAGATACAAAGTAGCTATGAGCCAGGTGGCCGAGACGCCATTGAGGTGTCAAGACGGCCGCCTCCAGGGATGCTGTGGCGGCAATTATGCGCTTGCGGGCTTCTTCCGCCTTGGCGGTTTTCGGGATTCGAGCATCTGCATGATTTGTCGTGGTTCCATGTCCGTTGCTTACTGTAGACTTACAAGCCGAAGAGGATGCGAGCTCGGCGATGAGGTCATTAGTTGAAGTGGTTAAGACGGCCAGAACCGAGCGGAGGTATGTGATTTGTTCATTCTGTTCTGCGATGCCGATGGCCATGTTGACTGGGGATGACGATTGTCGTTTCCTTTTACTTGCTGACGTATTAGTATTGCGTATCACGCTTTTGTTTTCCCTTTCACCTGCTTCCCTCTTAATGCTGGGGTACTACTTGCAATTGGGTCTGTAAGTTGAGGTATTATAGGTCAGGGGTGGTGTTGATAGGAAGTCCTACGGGTTTCGGGCTCAGCACTGCTTGTGCTCTGATATAAATGACGTTTTTTTGAGAGGGATATGAGTAACTGCCCCGGGCTTGGCTGATTTCATTGCAGGGGGCCTTGGGCTTTGAATATTATAAAGGGCTGTGATGGTTGCGATAAAGGACTTTGAGTCAGTTCCTTAAGCTTCGTATTCGTGCCCGTTGGTCGGTTATCATACGAGCTCGGTTACCATACGAGAGTCGAGATGACAGCGGTCCTGCTGTAAGAGCCGATTGTCCGAACGCAAAGTCTATTGGATTTACTGTTTTTACACGGTGTTCTCACGAATCCTTCTTCACTGTGCTCTGGTTGTGCCCATTACGCCATGGCCTTGTCAAAGTTGTCATGTCTCTAAATCTTCATGTTGGGAGAAGATCAAAATGGCATATCGCTCCAATACTCCAATGCTTCACGTTGTTGAAAGGGCCGCGCGGGCAGATTATCTCTTTCAGTCCGCCGGCCAAGGCGTTATGAAAAGCGGACTCCGCCGCCGTCGGGGCCGATTACTCAAGGCATTTCCGTAGGAGACCTGCCTTACGGGGAGATCCCCGCCTTGCATGAGGAAAGCGTTCTCACATGCATCAAGGTTAGGGCCCGTGGACCCGTCACGCCCGTCAACCTTACAAACTAGATACTTCCCAAACTCTAAGCGTACATCCCACCAGTTCGTCGAGATGGCCCGGCCGCCCGAACAAGAATCTTACCTTCCGCGTGTTCCGCATGAAACATGTAGTTTAAACTTCAAGTCCAGCCCTGTCAGGAATCACGTCATATCGAGATTGCCCATCATCCAGCCTTGATTTCCCATGTCTAGAACAGCCCTTCACCCTTCACCTCACACCTCAGGAACCCAAATGTATCTGATCAATAATAGGTTTGGCTATACCGCGCAAACTGTACGCTTTCGCATTCGCTTTCCGAAAACGACCTAGCCTCTATGGAGCGTTGGTTTATCTCAACTACAACGACCGATTGAGATTCCTAAACAGGCAATCCATTGTCAACTTAAGCATTCGACACATACAGGCCCAGAAAAAAGTGACTCAAGTAAACTCCAACGTAGGAGCTTTGGTGACTCGAGGCCCCCAAAGAGCAGAAGTGACCATCAAAGCGGGAAAAGGCAACTTTAGTACGGATAAACGCCAGACTCTGAGTTAGGATACCAAATTTGGACTTCAATTAGTTTCAACATGGAGATTCACCACCCAACGATGGCCCATCAAGCCAATGGAACCGCTAAGAGGAACATTTACAACGAAGTTGACGCTCCCGATGCTTCTTTTACTTCCACTTCCAAAGGAGGTCCTCTCATCTCCTCATGGCTCCCCACTCTCCGTAACACGCTTTCCTCACTCCTACACTGGACAGGCTCCTACTCAGCCCACATTCAGGACGCCCATCTCGCCTTTGTGCGTGCAGCCGTGGTCCCCCGCCTCAAACAGCCACCCACCGCGGCTGACAGGCAGCACTACATATTGACACATAACCAATCACCTTACGAAGCAAGCGTTGCCTTTTCATCTCATAAAGGGGCCAAGGTGCGTTTTACGGTGCAGCCTTTGGTGGATTCCAGCCCCGGGCCTGCGTGTAATGACCCTCTAGGGCAGAAGGGATTGCGTGAGAAGCTAGAAGGTCTGGCGTCTGCCTGTCATGCGGATCGTATCTGGCTAGATGCCTTTCTAGACTCTGTTCTCCTTACTGTCGAAGAGGAGGCAGGCTTGCTCGAAGTGAAGGCTGACGGTGCGCTGCCGCGACAAATTTGTTATACCGGATTCGATCTCGAGTCCGATGAGAATGCGACCATCAGCATGAAGGCGTACCTTTTCCCTCAACTCAAAGCCCTCGCAACAGGCCGGTCGCTGGTGAACATCACCGAGTCCGTTGCAACACGCCTTGCTGAGGGCGACGAGGCAATGTTGGCTGCATGGGGACTACTCAAAATCTTTCTCGTCTCCCAGGGCGAGGACAACATCAACATCTACTTCCTCGCCATCGACTGCCTGGCACGCAACAAGAAGCCTCGCTTCAAGGTCTACGTCCACACTCACGCCAACTCGCTCGCGTCAGCCCGTAATGTCTTCACCCTAGGCGACCGGCTTCCTGCCTCCTCAGCCGACTTCCTCCCACAGGTCTGGCCCTTACTCATGGACATGGAAGACGTTTCCTCGGCCGACATGGACGGCCTGGAAAAGCCACTCAATGAGCCTGACAGCAAGTATTGCGGGCTCTGCTTCGCCTTTGAGATAGTACCGGGAAAGACGGTCCCGCAGGTCAAGATGTACGTGCCCATATGGCAATACGCTCGTGACGAGGCCGGAGTTATGGAGCGCTATGAGCGAATACTCCAGACGCAGGGAATGAAGTCTGGAGAGTACGACTTTGGAGCTGCTGTTCAAGACGCCTTGTAAGTGTCATCACTTGTCTCTTCATAAGACGCTTAATGAGCGTATGAGTGTGCATGCTGACTTGTGACTCCTTTCAACCTAAAAGCGGCAGCGAGAGAGATACTGGTCTGCATACCATGGCATCGGTTTCCTCTTCTAGTAAGGGCGTGGGGTTCAGCGCCTATTTTGGGCCAAGGTTTTGGGAATGAGCGTCATTGGTCAACTATGTATGAATCTAGTAAATGCTTTTCGTACGATGATGGAATAGTGTCTTTCTGGGAACTACTTGATTTAGCCTTCAATATCATTTAATCGATACAACATAGTTCAGCACATGCTCCAGGTAAAGATTTAAGTCTTCCACACCGCATTGTATCTTTTGAATTAGGAGGGCAGAGCAAGACTTCATTTATTATTGTATACCAGCTTGAGTAAAGTCACAAGATAATTTAAGGTAATCACCTCTAACCTTCAGGTGGCGCAATGTAAAATATTGCCTCTCACGTGGACCCTATATGTTTACGAGGCACCACCTTGACCCAAAGCGGATGCTTGTCCCAAATGCCGTAACTCTTCTGGTCCAACCAGTCAAAGTTAGGCTCAGCCAGTTCGAGGTCAAAGTTGTACAGCAGACTGGCCATGATGAGTCTCATCTCAGGGTACGCAAGACTACGCGATATGTTAGTCAATGGCTTCCACTTCGATACAAAAATCTGGGAAAATAGATGGAAGTCAAGGTGGAACTCACTTCTTGCCAATACAATCTCTCGGCCCCACCGAAAACACCTTGACACAATCCCTCCGATCACCAGCATACTCGTCAGGACGGTCCTTGTCGTCCAGCCACCGCTCTGGCACGAACTCCTCAGGGTCCGAAAAATTATCAGGATGGTGCGCAATCGCGTACAGCGAGATATCCACACGCGTGTCCGCCGGCACGTAGCGCCCGCAGACAACACGACCTCCAGTAGGCACCATCCGCGGCATCGGCGTCGGGGCAGGCGGGTATAGCCGCATGGCCTCCTCGATACACGCGTTGAGGTACGGCAGCTTCCGAAGGCGAGCGAAAGTCATGTCCGTCTCTGGATTCTCGATGGCGGCATCGAGCTCAGCGCGCAGGGTAGCCATCTTGGACGGGTGCGTGAGCAGGAGGTAACTCAGGGCCGACGTAGCAGCCGTGGTGGTCTCCGTGCCGCCAATCATGAAAGTCGCGGCGTTGGAGTACATCTCGGCTCGCGAGATGCCCGGTTTCTTCTCGCTGCCGCTGTTCTGCATGATCATGGACCAGATGTCACTGCCGGAGTCGTCACCACGGTCCAGGCGCTTGTCGACGCGGTCCGTAGAGAAACGGTTGTGCCGGGCGCGGCGCTCGCCGCTGCCGCCCCAGATGTATTTTAAAAGCAATGGCCCCAGAGGAGCATGCCATCCCATCATGGTCATGCCAAGCGTGACTGTCTTGATGGTTGAGTACGTATCGCGTACCCATTGGCGCGCTGAATGGTCGCTTTCGAGCATGCCGAGCGGCTCGCCATACATGAGGTCGCCCATGATGTCAAAAGCGAGGTAGCTCAGCCAAGTCATGAGGTCGACGCGGCCATCACGATGAGAAGAAGAAGCAGAAGCAGCAGCTGGCTCCGCGTTCTCATCGGCCAGCTTGCTCATCAAGTTGCGAACATGGCCCTGCACGAGGCTCTCCTGCTTGAGCACGGCACGGTCGGAAAAGGCGTGCGAGAAAAGCCGCCGCTGCCGCTGGTGGTCTGTGTCGTTCTCGGCGCGCACGATGCCCTTCTCGGGGGCCGCCATGTCCGGTCCCAGTCCGACGTAGTCCTTTGGCATGTCGCCACCTCCTCCTGCCTTGGCGTAGATGTCGTGCCAGGCATCAGGGTGGCTGTAGCTCAGCTCGTTTGGGCCGATACGTACAACGTGGCCGTACTGTTTGTGGAGGAGCAGTGGCCAGCTGTGGTTGGTACCGTGGGCGCGGTGCCATAGCCATGGGATAGCAGTGATGCGTGCGAGTAAGGGGCCTGGGTATCCTGCCAGGGGGTGGAGGGTAAGGTAGTAAATGGTGCGTAGGACGATAAGTCCGAGAATGACCGGGCCGAGGGTCCAGAGAAGTCTCTGAAGGTCCTCCTGATTGACTAGGTGAACGTTTGATGGAATGATGTCGAGAAACATGATGACCTCCAGCTGTTACCTAGTGAGTGGGGAGCTCTAGACCAAAGTTCCGAAGGACGTGCTGATTCAATTTGTTCTCTTTTCGCTTTTTGACTTTCCTTCGATCTGGCTTCTACGAATGATGGTTAATGTCCGAATCTCCGGGGAAGAGGACCGATCTGAGGAGAAATAATGAAGACTCAAAAAGAGGCTGTCGTCACTGTCCGAGTCCAGACTCTTCAACATGAGGGGTGAAAATGTCAAGTAAAGCTGATATGGCTTGGGTAGTTACTAAGACCACACACAGCAAGGCGGAAACCGAGCATTCCAAAAAAGGATTTCCCCAACGGGCAACTCATATGATCGATAGACTCAACCCCGACGCCGAAAGTGTACTGTGTCGTGCTTTTTCGCATTCGCAAGGTCCGAGAGGCCCGAAGTGAAGGGCAGGGTGCTTTTGACGTAGCCGTGTGCCTGAAGGGCCGACAGCTTGAGCTCGGAGCTAGCACGGGGAGGTTCGGTAGAGGTTCCGCGGACAAGTAGCTAGGTTCTTCTGAAGTCGACCAGGAGAGCTTTGAAAGGCTGGAAGCTTTCTCGCATAATTACCCATATGACGGAATCGGACATTATCACAAGAGAAAAATTTTCCTAGGTTCAAACTTTAAGGTCTTTAAACTTGGCGAAGAGGTTGCGCCCACATGCGCCGTCATCCTGCGCTTGGACGAGCGTGTATTCGTATTCTAGAGAACCATATGTAACTTAATTAGGCACCATATACCCGGTCGTGCACGGTGTATAATCGTCCTGGCTACCCAAAGGGGCTAGTATAGATGGAATGATCAGACGGTTGTCAACCACACCGTCGGGGCACTGCCGAACAAGATGTTCTGCTTTGCACTGCCGATCCATCATGCCGGATGTCTGCTCTGCTCGGGTATGAGGCCATTAAAAGGAATGCCGCGTATAGAATAAACGCCGGTTCGGTTAGAAATATCATCTGAATACGAAATACTTTCGGAATTAGGACCAATTTGTGAAGGTACCTTTGAGGTTATTTTCGATTGGAGGCCGCAGGCTCGGTGCCGCAAGCTTCCAAACGCCGTAATAGGCATTACGCAACAAGATTGAGGCAGAATGTCTCTCTCCTAGTGTCCCTTGAATACATTTACATATATTTACTGACTTGCCTATTCCGACCATTCCTGATAGACTGACAATCACAGCAGCTTTGAGTTGTATGCTTAATGAATCACGAAGTCAACGTATTTTGTCTCACATTTTGGTGATCACTGATCTGGAACCAGTGACTTCGCCTCTCTCTCTTCATCTTGTTGTAATTACCTTAACTTAGGTACACTTACTTACACATTTGTTCATTAATACTTTTCCCCACCAAAATAGTTACCATGTCTGTCTATCAAAGACCCTCAACGCCACTCTCGGCTCCCATCTCTCCTATGCAGTGTTCCTTCAAGGAGAAACCACAACAAGATGTAATCAAGCCCAAAAGTTCTTCAATCTTTCTCAGTGTGCCCCAAACATTCTCAGCTGGAGGCATCATCACGCCGCCGGAAACCCCGGCCCAGAAACAACAACACGCCACAGGCGAATCTTACGCAACACTAATCAACTGCCCTATCTCTAAGGCCAGCTTTCTGCTCGCCCAGGCATCCCTGGCAACGGCGCTGGCCGGACGCACGTCATCAACGACAGAATTCAAGTTCCGGGACCCCGAGGCCTTCGGAGCGGAAACGGGGACGGAGACACGAACACGAACACTCCGTTTCGGCACGGGCCTCGATGGGTGCTTCACCACCTCCAGGGGCTTCCTTGGATGTCAAGCAACGCCTCCAACCAACGTCATCACCCGTAATATTAGTAATTCTCCAAGAAGCTTGGACCAAATCCAACGCTTGCCAGAGTCTCTGAAAGCGTGGGAGGTGGTTCACGGAAGTTTGCCCCGTCTACTCCGCGCACGACGAGTGCGTCATGCCGTTGACACCCTGCGCGAGCACAAGGCTGTAGGTGGGAGAAATGCGTGGGATGACTTGGAACAGCGCCATCTGGCGCGAGCTGCGCTCGTGTTAAGCGCGCTGGCTCACGCTTACATGTTTGGCGAGGAACAAGACAAGAGCAAAGAAAGTGAGGGGCGATCTCAGGTACCGCGCCATGTTCTCGACCCGTGGGAGAGAGTCTGCACGGCGTTGGGGAGAAGCCTGACTGGGCGGGTAAGTACACAAAGTGACAATTTCGAACCTGCAGAAGCTAACTCACCACAGGTGCCCGCCGATGATGTCCTCAACAATGCTCTGGGAAATGCCGCATTCAACCTCAGCAGCGCGTACTTCGGCCTCCCGGAGGAACGCCTCTCCTCAGGCCTCCAAGGCACAATGGAAGGTATCTTCGCACCAGCCCTCTCCGCCATGGCTCTCGCGCAGAGCGGCGTGCTGGCAGATCAGCCAGACCAAGTCACGCACTGCCTCGAGAGCCTGGCGGCCAACATTGTCAAATGTGCCAACGTCTTCGAGTCCATGACTCTCCGCGACGCGGCCACCTTTGACCCCGTCGTCTGGATCAAGACTTACCCAGCCATGGGCCGCGCCGTCACGCCCGGCGAACTGGGTAACAGCGGCGCCGACACGCCACTCTTTCACGCGCTCGACATCTTTATCGGCCGCCAAGATGTCAAGGGTGACTTGACAGGGATGCAGAACGGCCGCAAAGCCACGCTACCGGCTAACATCCGCGCCTTTCTGGATGCCCTCGGCGACGGTGCGGGCAGCGTGAGAGACTACGTCGCGGCGTGCACCGCCTGTGCTATGCACGATCTTTCCTCGGAAGAGCAGTCGCAATACCGCCATCTCGAGGCGGCGTGGGATGGGCTTCTGCAGATGTACGTTTGGTTTCTCGAGAGACACCGTGTCAAGGCTATTGGCGTTACGGGCGTGTCGTTGAATACGGGGCGGCACTCGACGAGCAGTGGCGTCAAGAGCGGCGACCAGTGTAAACATGCTGGCTCATCAATGGCATCAGGAAAAGGAAAGGGGAAGCCAAAGATGCGGCCCGAGGCTATGCTAAGCATGCAGATGAAGGCGGGTATGGTATCGCGGCTGGGCGGCCGGCCTTTGTGGCAGGATGCGAGTATCCAGTCGCAGACGGTGTATGAGGGTAGCACGGTGGTGGAAGTGAGGTTGGATGCTAAGCTGCCTCTCGAGGCGGGCGATCGCGTGCAGGTCTGGCCGCCGAGGAAAAGGAGAAACACCAGCAGTTCGCACCAGCGACGGTTACGGGCTTCCACCCCTCCTGAAGACCATGATGTGTCGTCAGATGAAAACGGCGACCATGGAGATGGTGAGGCCGAGCCGAGATTTTACTCAATCGCCCGTGTCACGCCAGACATGGGAGGAGGCATCACCATCACTCTGACAATCAGTCAACATTCGCCTCAGGGCCTCGTCTCCTCATTTTTGAGCAACGCCGCCCTAGGCACACACCTCCGTCTTCGCCCATGGCCCAGTTTACGTTTCCGCCAGCCTCGCGACCTTTCCGTACCTCTGGTCCTCGTCGGCCAGGGCAGCGGCATCGGCCCCTTGGTAGGCTTCCTGCACGACCGGGCGGCATGGGCACAGCAGCGCCAGCTTGGTGACGGCGAGGTGGGCGAGCTGCTCCTCGTGATCGCCGCCAAAACACGCCACCATGTCCCCTGTTCACTCCACAGCCTGGAACACCTCACTAGGGTCTTACCATTGACTGTCGTCCTGGCCCTCAGCCAGGAGGCACACCACCTCAGGATCCGCGGTGGGATCCGGACTCAGCTTCCCGAGGGGGAACGGCGTGTGACTCGCCACTTGGTAGCGTATCGGGACTCCGTTCATCGTCTTGTGCGAGAAGAGGGCGGTCATCTCTTTGTCTGTGGCAGCTCCGACTTTGGGGCCACGGTCACAAGTGGTCTTGAACTGGGTCAACCGCAGCAAGAAGACCAACAAGCGCAGGGACACGAGGAGAACAGCTACACGCAGATTCCCTCACCACCCGCGCTTTGGGAAAGACTCCATCAAGATCTCTTTACGGCCGTCAAAAGACCTTCCAAACCAAGAATGCCTTCTTCTTCTTCCAGCCCCTCGTACACCTTGCCCATTATCACCCCGTCCGAGCTCGCAGCCCACAACTCAATCACCTCAAGCTGGGCCGCTATCGACGGAACAGTTTACGACCTGACGCCCTTCCTAACCATCCACCCAGGGGGTCCAAAGACCCTCCTCGAGTCAGCAGGCACCATCGCCGATGTGCGCTTCGCCGAGACGCACGGCGGGCCGCACGCCCAGGAAATCAGGGGCTATCTGCAGCAGTACGCCATTGGGTGTCTGCCTCCACCCAGGTGTCCTAGAGACCTCAGTACGCTTCAGATAACGACATCAAAGCTCACCGATGCCTTAGTGGGGATGCAAAACGCCCTCACCAATAACACCGCCTTTGACGCGAAACGCGGGCCTGTACCCGTGTACGTGTACGAGGATGCCCTGCTCGTATTCGCCGACGGTCTGGATGGCGTGACGGCTATCTTGTCAGACGTTGCTTCGAACGATCAGTACGGAGACGCCTCGGAGCTGAAGGAAACCGTAGCCAACACACAAACGCTGCTAAGAAAGGCCTTCTCCGATCTAAAAGACGGTTGTAAGCGTTACATGCAAGCTGCGGGCTCCAATGGCTCTGATTCCTTACTGGGTGAGAGCGAGGGGTTGATTCAGAAGCTACATAAGGAGCCTATCAACAAGATCCACGCGGCCATCAATGCTTGCAAGAAGGGTCTCGGCGAGATTGAGTCTCAGGTTCTGGCAAAGGCGGATGGTAGTGACGAAGTTTGTGATGTCGTGGAGACGTTCTCTCTTACTCTCGCTACTCTTGCCAAGAATTTGCTTCTTGTCATGGCTCTGGCCGAGGAAAGTGATGACGCGGAGCTTGAGCAACGGACTACTTGTCGAGAGGAGAATATTTGCGCAACGCATTCTGCGATGCCGAGCGTTGATCTTTGAGCGTATTGAATGCATTGAATAAGCCTTGAATTTAGCGGAGCTGTTGAGCGTTCTTGATTAGATATGTAGAGCCATCATAGCCTTTTCTATTCGAGTCAAACTATGGATTCATACTACTTCGCATTTTCCAGCTTTCGTTCCTATATAACCACAAGTTTGCTCCGTCTCTTACGGCTTTGAGATGTTGCCACCATCTACGCATGGCTTACTACTTTCAGCCGCTCCGGGGGCCACGGTTTGAAACCAGAGGAATATATTTACGCGAAAAGATAGCTTCACATTGTTGAACGAAGGTATTGGTGGTGTAGCTGGTAGTGTATTGCTTGGACCAGATCAGAGAAATGGAGGTCGGCAGAGCCCCTATTACACATCCAGAGTGCTGAAATCCCTGTCCAACCACTTAATGGGTCGTCCATTTCAACACGCACAAGCCCATCATCACGACGTAAGGATGATTGTAGTGACTCCCACTAAACAAGCCTCCTCCAGAGCGAACTCGGATCTAGATCCGGTCTAATAAATTGGCAGAAACATTTGCCGCGTTTCCAGTATATCTTCTTAAATCGGGCTACGTAGATGATATCCCAAAAGACGAACATGGTGAAGTAAACTTGCTAAGCGTCGCCGAAAAGTCTATATCTCTGAAAATATCACAAAGCCCTCCCAACATACCTCCTCTTCCCCTGCCTCCTCGTAATCGGCACTCTCGGCTCATCCGGCCCTAACCCAATCAACCTCCGCCAGTGAAAGTGCAACGGATTCTCCTGGCACGGCGGAATCCTCTCATACCCAAACGGCGCAGCCTCCAAAAACTCAAGCGGCCCTGTATCCGGCTCCGGCAGATTCTGGAACCAGCGCAACGAGATATGGAACCGCGACACGGGCATCTTGTTCCGCCCAAACTGGTGCAGCGGCTCAAACCACTCCTCAAAAGGGGTCGGATAGCGCGCGTAGTAAGGGTACGCCCAGATCCGGAGCTCCTGTAGGCGCGGGAGCTTTTCGGCGGCGGACGTCCATGTGTCGTTCCATTTGATCCTTTCGGCGACGACTTCGTCTTCTTCGGGATCCATGTATGTCTCTATTGGGGCTCGCCATGTGAAGTGGAGCTTCTTGATGCGGGATAGGGAGGTTGTGGATGTGGTGCCGAGGAAGCGGGCGAGTGCGTCTGTGTTGATGAAGGAGAAGGTTGTGTCGTTGTAGATGGAGTCGACTGCTTCGTGATGCATGCGCTTGCAGGTAAGAAGGATGGCTAGGAATGGGCTGAACTCCTTGACGAGGATTTGGCGTCGCTTTCCCTTGGAGCCATCCTTTGACTTTTCCCGCTTATCGTCTTCCAGCGAGAGTTGCTCGAGTTCTCGCAGGATAGGTGGCTCCTCTTCACAAGTCCAGTGATTACACCACGACGAAACGGTACGGAAGCGCCAAGTATTGATCGTCTCTTTTTCCTCCGCGGATCCCGGTCCGACGCCTTCCTGTAGTGTTGACGGGTCCGCGGGCGGCGTGTTGAGGACGCGGGAGAGCTCGGTTTCGCGGATGTCTTCGGCGTCTAGGTCGGCAATGCATCGGCAGTGGGAGAGGGGTGCTAATGGGGAGGCACTTGATTTATACACGTGCTGGATTGGTCCGGCAGCTTGCCAGAGGTCGCTGTAGATATTTCGCCGGATCTCGAGGGGCAGAGCTGAGAAGAAGGCTGATTGTGGTTGTGAATGAGGTGCGGTTTGAGGCTCATGCACGTCTGTGGTCTCAGTCTCGGCTGAGTGAGCGCTCTCACCATCATTCTCCAGTTCGGCCATTTGAGCGATTGCAGATGAGATGAATTATGAGTGTTAAGTAGTCGAGAATGAGATGCAGTGAATAATATCGCAGCAAGATGAAACTACCCGAATCTGAGGTGAGATGATGCGTGACATTAAAAGCCTTGACCACCACCACGACCACGACAAACACCCCTCCTCCGATCCTTTGGTGAGGGACCTCCCCGAACAGGCTTAACGTCGCTTACGACATTGTACACATCCAATAACGATAAGGCTGGTCCTGAGATGCGGATGCCTATTGCATGAAGTTTCCTCTCATCCAACCAACCACTGAGAGAACACAACGAATCTGACATGTGTGATATCTTGCAATGAACGACCGTTGTCAACGTCGGCAGTTTCAGCGAGAGAGACAACAAGGTTTTCCACAAGTAGACAAGCAACATCACCAAACCATTACGTTACCCTGATGCCCCTCGGTGGAGTTTACAAATCTACGGCAAATGATTGGTCAATGCGACGATCTGTTTGGGTCCTTGGCCTTGTCTTACCCCAGACCATCGGGATCCAGCCCAGGGATGATTGAGTGCAGCGTGCAGCATTCTTTTGTATCTGTGCTCTGGCTCTTATCTATTTCTCAGGGCAACCCCTAGACCGCCTTGTCAAACGCAAAGTTTACAAATGACCCGTCATCAAAAGCTGAAAACCTCTTCTTCTACTCAGTCGACATTCCGAAAGATCAGCTCTCACAAGTCATTCAACTGACGACCGGCGTTGCTCCCGTTCCAAGCAACAGCCATGAGCAGCCGTCCTATCCAACGGCTCGCCCAGCTGCGTGGGGCATCGTCATCGGCTCGACGCGCTTCAACGCGGCTCGCCGGCCCCAGCTACACCACTCTCTCGGCCAACAACCCGACAACTCGGCACCAGATCCGACACACTGGAAGAGGTAGTCCAGCAGTAGTAGTAGCATTCACAGGTCTGCAGTCAAAGAGGCTATTCGGAAGTACAGCCCAGCGCCGCAATGAATCCGCCGCCGCGGAAGACGAGGAAGATGCGGGAAGCTACAGTGAGGCGGACCACGAGCACGCCGTCATCTCGACGTTTGATCTGTTCTCGATCGGCATCGGTCCTTCGTCTTCGCATACCGTAGGACCCATGCGCGCCGGCAACATCTTTGTCGCCGATCTGGCGGAGGCCAACCTCCTGCACAAGGTCAACAAGATCCGCGTTTCCATCTACGGTAGCCTGGCGCTCACGGGCGAGGGCCACATGACGCCGTCGGCGCTGCTTCTCGGCCTTGAGAGCGCCGATGTGGAGACCGTTGACACGGCGTACGTGCCGGAACGGTTCACCGAGATCAAGGCGAGCAAGAAACTCTTCTTGGGACAGGGTCTCTCGGATGGCAAGGGCAAGGAGGTTGCGTTTGACTATGAGCGGGATTTCGTGTGGGAATGGGGTCGCAAGTTGCCCATGCACAGCAACGGCATGCGATTCACGGTCTTTGATGATGAGGGTTACGTCTTGGCGACGAACGACATGTTTAGCGTCGGCGGAGGATTCGTCGTCAATGGTTCCCTGTCTATCAACCCGGACGCATCGCCGGCATCGACCTCGTCCATGACGCAGGTGGATAGCCCAGATGGTGAGACTGCGGGGAGACATCCGGCCGATTTGGCGGAGAATATGTTTTACAAGGAGATTCGCCGCTCCGATGCCGCGGGAGACCGTCGGACCGGCGCCGAGGTCAAGCCCCTGGAGGAAGCAAAGGAAGACCCGATGCTGCTTGAGGGCGCGCAATCAGATCTATCCCCCATCGCTTCAACATCCGGAAACGGCGTCGACGGTGGTGCGGACCATGGATCCGAGAGCAGTGAACCCTCTGGTCCCCGGTACCCCTTCCGCGATGCCACCAGCTTGCTGGCGCTCTGCCGCAAGCACAACCTCACCATCGCCCAGCTCGTGTACGAGAACGAAAAGAGCCATGGTTACACGGACGAAGAGATCTACCACAAGCTCTTCAAGATCTGGCAGGTCATGGACACGAGCATTCTGGAAAGTGTGCAAGCACCGCTAGACACAAAGCTCCCTGGCTCCCTCAAGCTCCATCGCCGCGCTCCCGCTCTCTACCGGAGGTTGACCCGAGGCCTCTACTCCACCGCCGGCCACACATCCCCGAACCCCCTCGACAAGGGCACCGGCGAAAAGGCTTCCCTACCCGGCTTCTCCTCCGGCTCCGGCTCCGCATCCACCCCGGCAACCATCTCCAAATCCAAGGTCCCCGGTCTGAGCATCGGCCGCCGCCAACCCCCGCGAATCCTAGGCTCCCTCGACCACCCCATCACTCCGTCCCCCTCCCGCCGCACAACCTTCCCGACAATGGACTACCTCACAGTCTACGCCATCGCCGTCAACGAAACAAACGCAGCCGGCGGCCGCATCGTCACGGCCCCCACAAACGGCGCAGCGGGCATCATCCCTGCCGTCCTCAAATACACCATCGAATTCATCTCAGACGACCCGGAACGCGACATCCCCACCTTCCTCCTCACCGCCGCCGCAATTGGCATGCTCTACAAGCGCGGCGCCACAATCTCCGCCGCCGAGGGCGGGTGCATGGCCGAAGTAGGCGTCGCTTGCTCCATGGCAGCGGGCGCGTTCGCGGCGTGCATGGGCGCCAGCCCCGAGGCCATTGAACAGGCGGCCGAGATTGGCATCGAGCATAACCTGGGCCTGACGTGTGATCCTATCGGCGGGTTGGTGCAGGCGCCGTGTATTGAGCGGAATGCGCTGGGCGCGATTAAGGCGATTTCGAGCGCGAATTTGGCATTGAGCAGTGAGACGGGGACGCAGAAGGTTAGGCTGGATGATGCGATTCGGGCGATGCGGTTGACGGCCAAGGGCATGCGGAATGAGTTCAAGGAGACCAGTTTGAGCGGGTTGGCGACGAGCGTGCCGTTTAATATCCCTGTCAGTGTGCCTGACTGCTAGATATCGGGAATTTGCTTCTATGACTTAAGATGGGTTGTTCATGGGTTGTTTGGTATGATTATAGACTTGGGAATAGAATTACGGCCTTTCGGTGGAAGAGACACATGAGGAGGTTGGGCTGGAAGTGCTACTAATCCTTGATTCGCGATTTCGTCTCTTCAGCGGGGAAAACTGAGTCTTGGAACTTGAGATCAGGAAATAGAGGATACGCGGTCAATCAAGCTGCGGTGTTTGATTCCTGCATGTTATGCTGACATGAGCCGCGAATGCCTTCTAGGGCACAGCTCACGGTGTTGAGCGTGCATGCCCACACATGCCGGGGCGACTATGAGTCTCTGAAATCCACATATTGGGAGTTCTTCACAGAAATGGGGCACCTCAGTGGATCGTCACAGCGATGAGAATATACAAATGCTGCAATTCCCATCCAATCACATCAAGAAACATCAAGTCGAGACTCTGTCTGACATAGGAATAATCTCGTAAAGTAGGGATCACCGATATGAAAACTGATCAAAGTCTCTACGATCGTTAGGTATGAAAGCCAAGTTGTCAAAAGAGAACGGAGATCCGGTAGTCGCGATGCAACTTGAGCTCTGCGGCGACGCCGATAACCCAGCGAATCACACGGCAACTTGGCCGAGCGGTCTAAGGCGCCAGACTCAAGTTTCCCATCAAATTGGTCACTTCCCCGTAAGCGGGGCGCATTCTGGTCTCGAAAGAGGCGTGAGTTCGAATCTCACAGTTGTCATTCGATGATTTTTGTTATTGGGTGAGATATCTTTTAACCACGATAGATCCTTTTTGTCTCTTTTCTACGGCTGGATGGCGCATATCATGCTGTCAGAGAGCGAGTTTTGCATGTGGCCGACGAGCTTGCCGTGGTGTATTAACCTGTACCGCTCCGTGTTGTTTCTCTTTCCCAAACACCCGGCATTACTTCCCTTGATCATCGGGAGTTGATTGACATGGTTTCCAGCATCACTACAACCACCCACACCCATGGTTCGTGAGGGGAACTTCCTCCAAACATCTCACATTCCGCATGCCTCTTGCAATGATGATTGACAAGTATCGTCCCGTCCTACCCGCTTTTCCGGTCTTCTCCCCGCGCGACGGACATATCGAAACAGCGCCAACTCTTTTCCGACTCATGGGTTCGTTCAATCAATGCAAACAGGGGTCTCTGTCCACACCCACCCACAACAAGCCGAACTCAAAACTCCAAAAAGTCAATGGCAAACAGGAGAAACAAACTTGGGCTACGTTGAATGTAGTTTCCGATTGATTGTAAACCAAGAAACATCATGGGTTGTAGCCATTTTAAGCTTAAAGAAGCGGTCCTTAATCACTGAGCTCGACTAGACTAGGTACCAAAACTACCGGTGATTCAATTCAACGCCATTGACATTCCGCCCCGGCCTCCGAGCCGGAGCTCGGTGAAGGACTCTCATCCGGGCTCATCATGTGGACGGATATCTCCCCCTGCCAAGTAACGAATCCATCACCAATGACTAGGGGCTCTGGCGTCATCTCCGCCCCTTGAGAGCACCAGATCATGGATGTCATGGTAGCAATATCGAAACGCAAGTAGATCATCGAAAGCCCAGTCCAGTCCAGTCCAGTCCGTTTCCTGCCCGGCTTTGGAGCTTGTCTCTGTTCCCCGCACCCCGCACCGCACCCCGGGTTCTTCACCGTGCAGTGAGTGGTTGCATCCATCCTTACCGTTTTGTTGTTTCCATCTTTACTCTAAAAAATCCGTGTGCCATTGTTGCTGTCCCATGCCCGCCTGCGGTTTTCAGACCGGGGTGAGGTGTTGACAAAGTCCTTCGAGGAGTACGACTCAAGCAACCATCCGTAGTCGCAAGGTGGACAATGTGGAGGAGGAGGAGGAAGAGGAGGAGGACAACTGCCGTTAATTCCCTCGGACAACCCGGGTAATCTCCGCCGAACAGGACAGTCCGCCCTCTTCGTGGTCCACTGCGGCCACTGCCCAGCCTTTTTTGGAGTCTAGTTTCCTGGGATCAACATGAACAGGGCCCGAAGATGCAAGCAAGCTAACCACCATTCCACGCCTTTTTACCCCTCATACTACCGTATCGTACCCTTACTCTGGGTATCCGTACCTTTTACGTACACCTCATATTGGGTATCCGTACGCATCGGTGAAAGAAGCGCAAGAGGAGGGAAAAGACCATGGCCTTGGCGTCGGGGTATAAATCTTTCCTAACCTGCAACTCAATCCCACCCTTGACCGCCTGGTCGTCGTCACTCCAAAATACCTCCGTCATGGCCTCCTCCTTCTCGTCAGTAGCCGCCGTCGCGGGCCTCTTGCTCTCCGGTGCGCACGCCCAGCTGGCCGTCGCGCAGAGGGCGCTCCCCGCGAAAGCTCAGATCATTGACCAAAAGAGCTTCAATGTCTTGGAGGTCGTCCCGCCCCCTTCGGAGTTCAATGCCTCGTCAGTATGTCATCCGGAAGTCACTTTGCTATGGGTGATGAAGTTGTATGAGAGAGGTTCCAGTCATTGACATGGGTATGGAAATAGGAATTCCTCTGGCCCGGCGTCACGCATGAATCTCTCACCGAGAAGCCATTCCACATTTACGACCCCGAATTCTACGACATCATCGGCAGCGATCCGTCACTGACCCTCATCGCGACCTCGGAGACGGATCCCATCTTTCACGAGGCAGTCGTATGGTAAGGTTCAATCCCCCTCACTCTTCCCACCACTCACTCACCCACTCACTCACCCACTCACTCACTCACCCACTCACTCACTCGCTCACTCACTCACCACCCTGCCCTAGACTCACCTCACAAGTGAGATCCAACCAGCTAACAAAGAAACCCAAGGTATCCCCCAACAGAAGAAGTTTTCTTCGTCCAAAACGCCGGGCCCCCCGCAGCAGGCACCGGCCTCAACAAGTCCTCCATCGTCCAAAAGATCCGCCTCGCCGACGCAGAGGCTCTTCGCAATGGATCCCTGGGTACCAAAGAGGTCACAGTCACCACCGTCCCTTCGAACCCGCAGGTCATAAACCCCAATGGTATAGACCACTCTCTCTCTCTCCACGCATTTCTGAAAACATTTCCACTAACAATTCCCACGCAGGTGGAACAAACTACAAAGGCCAAATCATATTCGCCGGCGAAGGCCAAGGCGAGCGCGTACCCTCGGCGCTGTACCTCATGAACCCGGTAGAACCCTACAACACCACAAGTTCGTCCCAATCCCCTCCCTCCAACTCTTTCTTCCCCCCGAAATCTCAAAAAGCTAACCACCACACCCCTCGTAGTCCTCGTAAACAACTACTTTGGCCGCCAGTTCAACTCCCTAAACGACGTCGTCGTCTCCCGCCGCAACGGCGATATCTACTTCACAGACACCCAGTACGGTTACTGGCAGTACTTCCGCCCCACCCCCGGCCTGCCGAACCAGGTGTACCGCCTCAACCCCACGACCGGCGCCTTGACTGTTGTCACGGACGAGTTTGTGTCGCCGAACGGTATGTTCTGCCTCTCGATTTCCCCAGCCTGGATCAATTTGTAGGTCAAGTAGTGATGAGAATACTAACTTGAAACCCCAGGCATCACACTCTCGCCAGACGGCACATACGCCTACGTAACAGACACAGGCATCTCCCAAGGCCAATTCGGCACAAACTTTACAAAGCCAGCAACAGTGTACGTCCTCCCCTTCTCCTTCAGCAATCAATCCATTTAACCCCCTTCTCAGCTACCGCTTCGAAGTAAAAGAAGACGGCACTTTCGAAAACCGCAAAATCTTCGCCCACACCTCCGCCCGCCTCCCCGACGGAGTGCACTGCGACTCCAAAGGCAACGTCTACGCAGGCTGCAACGACGGCGTCCACGTCTGGAACCCGTCCGGTAAACTCATCGGTAAGATTTACACGGGCACTACGGCGGCGAATTTCCAGTTTGCAGGTGATGGGAGGATGGTTATCACGGGACAGACGAAGCTGTTTTATGCCACGTTTGCGGCTTCGGGTGTTGCGTTGACGTAGAAGAGGGCATGAAGGTAATGGTAATTGGTGTTGTGAATAGGGATTTTCGGCAGAGAGTAGTAAGATCTTCTTGAACAAAGTTGAATTATACATAAAAGCAATTGAGCACAATTGTTTGCTCCATAATACCTGGTTTTACAATCCTGCGGTCTTCTCCGATGGGGCTATGTTGACATCATTTCTCATTCATCATTTAATATGTATATATAGGACGCATCGTCCCCTGTGCCCGGTACGGGGTTGGCAGTGGCACCACAACGGTAGCACCATCACCCAATTAACCTCGCTGTGCAATACCCGATCTTCCCTCGTGTGCTTCCTACCCGTTGAGCGTGTCTGTAAAGCTCTTCAGCCACGGCAAGTCGATCGTGTCGACGTTTGGATCTTGGACTTTGGTGTCCCAAACGCTCTACAAAACTTGTCAGCATCACACACGTGAGTGTCTCGTAGACTGAACGAACCCAGTCCAAGGCCATGGCCGAGTCCACTCCCGTCATAGGAACGGGGATAGACTCTGACGAACTCGCGGTTGGCATGTAACCCCATCGAGTGGATCCATCTTGTTCCATCCATGAATTTTCCACAGGTTGCGGAGGCATGTACGCAGGTATGACAGGATCTACACGAGTTAGCTGGGGGGGGGCCTACATTAACACCGTATCTATAGGGGCACCTACTGCATGCGAGTTGATAAGACGGACGCATTCCCATGTCAGTACCATGCATTCCGTCCGAGCTGACAGTTTCCGGGGTGCTCTCGTAATGGTCTCCAGTCGACAAGCTGAGCATGCGAGACAAAATCTTGAAAGCCCGAGTGGCTTCGGTGGAGTCTTTTCGGTTGGATTTCCAGATATCTCTGGACGCCTGAAGAATGGAAAGGAGAGGCTCCTTGTCAATATGTATTCCAATCGTATTGCGGCCTTCCGGGCGCAGAAGATGGGACAGTTCCAGGCAGAGCATCATATCCGCAAGAAGGAAGTCGTGGGTGCTCAAACTAGAGACGAACCAGCGCTCGCGTGATAGTCGACCCCCAGGCTTGTACTCCTCGTTGATGTTGAATTGGATTTCCAAGATTTTGGTTGCCGCATTGATGCATGCAAACCTGGAGTGCGCGAATCGGATATCCTTCCGTCCAAGTGTAAAGTATCGGCGATGGAGTACTATGCGGGCCTTCAGGTACATGAGCTCTATCCAAAGACGCTGCATGATCAAATCAACTGTGTCTTCGACGGAAAGAGTGAATGATCGATCTCGTAGCACGGGAGGGATTTCTTCGTGGGCTCTTTCCAACCGCTCGTCCAAGCGCAGGACCTCTCCGTAGTCGGGACTGCTGCGGCTTGCCATGCGCGAGACAATGTCGCTAAACACAACTACAAGTCTGGACTTAACAATCGTGTACATCACCGGTGTTCGCTCGACCTCGGTCATCGGTCGCTCAAGAGGTAGCTTGACTGTAGCCTCGTCGAAATCCCTATCATGGAGGTTGCGAGGTAGACCTGTTTGAATCAGATTTTTAGAATCATGTTGGGAAGAATGCTCAAACCTGTGTCAAAATATTGAGACTGCACGTTGGAGGGAAGACCGAATTGAAAGGCTATCAGAACGTCGATCTCGGTGACGATTGTCCACAGACGCTTGCGCATCTCCCCTTCAAAGACTGACATGCCCTTGAAATGGCTCGGGTCTCGGTGCATTCCCGAGTGCATTGCCAAACGAACGATGATGGACATGAGGATAGCCTGTTCTGCGTCAGTTCTGCGGGGAATCATCCTACAGGCGGGGAATCTCATGACGTACGGTGCCTTGCTGTGCATCGGCTAGTCGAAGATACTCTGTGCCAAAGTACAGCATCATCGTTTCGACCTTGTACTTCCCAGGGGTCGTGTAGTTGTCTAGAGCTAGACACCGCGCACAGTAACTGCGATAAATGTCGGCAACATGTGTTGCTGGTCCCAGGTCGCCAGGGACGGCTTCGTCTGCTCTTAGACAAAAGAAGGCAGCATGGCTGATCATGGAGAACAGGAGCGCAAGCCAGGATAGAGAGAATTGGCTTTGATCTTCCCAAAATTCATGAAACTAGAATTGTGAGCATCTCGACAGTAGTCATGTCTGGTCCATTAGATCTCACCTCTTTCCAGAATGTCGGCACATGGAACATACCTACGCAGGGAGGCCGAGTCAGTAAGATATGTAGCCAGTCAATCTTTCATGACGTACACCAAGCAGGTTCTTTCCCTTCAAAGAACCTTTCAATCAACCTGTGTGTGATGTGTCTTGGCGGTAGTAGTGCCATGAGAGTAGTCATGTTTGCCGTTGGAAATGCTCCTGAAAGAAGAAACGGCACGGTAGGTTTCGAGGAAGCATTGCCGGTAGGCATATCCTCAGGCTCTTCAGCATCAAACATTACATATTTCTTGGTTTTGAAATGCGTAGTGAGCCTGGTGATCTTGGGAGAAATCAGTACAAATGGGGTAAGGCTCCTCGACGCTTTCTGAAACTCACGTCGTCGAGAATGGCTTCCCAGTTGGCAGCATCCACATACCGCACTCTGTCCACCATCGGGCCCGCAGTTGTCGGCTCCGTGATTCCCATCAGGCTGGGGGTTTCGGTCCCGCTGGAAGGCTGTTTGGCGCTGACACTAGACGCGCTAGATTCCGAGATTGGGTTTCGAGACATCTCGACCTCTCGACTCCGCATTTGGCCCAACTCCTCGGTCAGACGGTGCAGCTTGGCTTGCAAAGCCGCCATTTCGGCAGACTGCGGTGTCTGATGGCGAAGGGCAGCATGTTCGGAGCTTGCCCCAGGTCCTCCTCTGATCAGATATGGCACGATCACACAAGAGCTCGCAAGGCCCCGCTTCTCGCACTGGTCGCAAGGATCTCCGCGGTTGCACTTGCGCCTGAGGGGGACGCGCAAGGCTGTCAGATACAGTCTAAAGCTGTCATTTCGTACATGGGACACTCACTTCTTCTCGCGACATATGGTGCAAGAGTATCTGACACGGCTGCGCTTCTTGGAACCCTCGTAATCGGTCGGGTCAGTGCCCGTCGCCTCGGTAGCCATTGGAGGGTATCCGTAAATTGGATCCTTTCGACATCCGAGCTCAGTGTGGTATACTCGTTTTTCTATGGCTTGAGATTGCGAAAGCGAGATTCGGCATCAAATCTTCCAAAACAAACTCGACTTGGCGTAGGTCGAAAAAGTCGAATGGTCCTTTCACAAAGGTCGATCTTTTCGATCAATCACGTTTCCTAGCGATCGCCGCCAACGACGACTCCCCAATGGACAGGCATGCTAGGGTCCTGTCATGTTAACGTAAGCAGGCCTGGCCATACGGCGTTCACTCTCAGGCTTGATGGAGACGATGCAAAGGCCCAGAAGCAACTAACATTTTGATTAGCCACAAATCCATCTGCCAGGCATAATGGATACAAACACAAGCCTTGATCTATCGACGGCTAGCCAAATCATGGCGGAAGAGGCCACCGACGGTCTTGGCAAAATTGCCCTTCCATTCTCCAGAAAGCAGACCTCAGGATGCTTTTCCTCAGATATTTTCATGAACGACAAAACTCGCTACAGTCGCCTCCGACCTTTCAGCGGCAGCGGCGTAGGTACTGGACATCGAGTTGAAATGAGGTGGTCCTGGTTGATATCCAGTATATGGATCAAAGCCAAGGTCGCCAGGATATCTGAGGGGGGCGGTTGGTCTTATTTGTAGAGATCTTCCGGGTGAATTCGAGGGCCGCCTCTCTATTTGAACCGTGTGGTTCGTTCCATCGGGGCCTGAATTTGTCCAGAAGAAGCGGAATCGTCTGACGGCATGCAAGTCCGGTGTAACTACGCCGGCGTGTACCCGAGCGTATTGACTGGTCGAGGGGCGAATGCCGGAGATAGAAGGCCGGAGTTGTGGTTTCTGGCGCAAGATGATGGCAGATTAAGCCGGTCGGCCAGCTCGACAAGGGTGCTCGGCATGCAAGCGGTGGCATTCCCATGCTGTTGGAGCTAACTTCCAACAAGATCATTCGGTGACCACGCACTGCTAATTGGATGGTTTGTAAGGACTGACCCGCCTGTTGGCTGACTTGTCGAATGCGTCAACCTTAATGCTGCAAGGGAGGATATAGATCCATTGAAACAAATGAGGAAAGATTGCTTGGGATTGGAACGATTAAACCTCGTTGATGCATCGGATTGCTTGATCCCTTTGACATTCGTACAAGACCACGGTGAAGGCGACTCGATTCGCTGTGCAGTGCACGTACCACCTTCGGTGAACGTGCCTGCCGACGAGCATTTCAAGCTTCGTGGCTCTCCGCGGGGTATCAAGCAGGAAGACCCGACTATTTCCCCCACTTCCCTGCACGTTGAGGTACCCGCTTTTCAATGGCCACCCAGCTCGATCCATCCAATGAGATATTGCCACTCAAGATGACGTACAGCGGCAGGAGGCAACCACCAATGCAATCTTCCGCCAAAAGTCACCGTTATCGTCGCATCGCGGTCACATCATTCTCAACTCAAAACCGACGACCTCGAGGACTCCCGCTCTAACTGCCAGTACTTCCCATCTTCCCGAATACGACAGACAACGAAGGCCGTCTATCTCACGAATGTCGGAGTCACAGCGGTCCGCGTGGTCATCCCGCGCTGACCTTCTCCTGCGACCCGTCGAGCGTCCGGTGGGGTACCTGAAGCGCGCCAGCATCGCGGCCTGGTTTCCCATCCGCGGCATCTGGTACTTCTTGCGGAACAAGGAGTTCTACCCGCTGTTCCTGAGCCGCCTCCTACCACTATCCATCATCTCGTTTCTCGTTTACTTCATTCTCTTCACCTTTGCATTCCTTCCACAGTTTGCACTTCTGGCCATCTTCCACGGATGGGGCGCGTGGGTCAATGCGGTGGTGCTGGTGCTTGGAGAGGGTCTCGTGGTGATCCAGGGACTCTTTGAGGGTTTCTTCGTTGACGAGTGTCGAGTGGATGTTTTTGATGTGAGTATAATATCCCAATATCCCGTTGGATTGGATTCTCTCCTTGGTTTCATGGCACTAATCTTTACTCCAAGGCCACCCTCATAAAGGAGTCTCAGACAGACCTCGTGGCTCCCCACAGGATCCTCTTCCCCGATGCCCCCACCGCAGTCAAAATGCTCGGCAAGCCGACGACCCCCGCCGCCTTCACCCCATGGTCCATGGTCCAGATCATCGAGCTGATAGTTTTCCTGCCCCTCAACTTCGTCCCAGTGGTTGGTACCCCAGCTTTCATCATCATTACTGGCACGAGACTGGGCAAGCTGGCGCACTACAGATGGTTCCACTTGCGGGGTCTGAGCAAGAAGGAAGCCAAGAACGAGATTCGAGCGAGGACATGGGAATACGTATGGTTTGGCACGGTTGCGATGATTCTGGAGCTGATTCCCGTGCTATCATTCTTCTTTTTGTTGACTACTTCGGCCGGAGCCGGACTTTGGGCGGCACGTATTGAAGACGAGAAGAAGAAGCGAGCTGTGGACGCTCTCATCGGAGACGGAGAACCCCTACCGCCTCCGCCCCCCTACGAGGATGATCCAGTATAAGAGCATGGTTAGATGGGGTTTTTGTGCCCTAGATATTTCTTGGGATCAACGAAGTAGGCAAGCAGGCAATTGAACAACCTGACTCATCAATTCTTGAGCTTTTTCATCATCTCAGCATGTCTTCGTCACGCCAAACTTGAGCACCATCATCCCTTACACTCTCTCCTCCTGCCTAGAGGAGCAGCTTCGTGGGCTCTTTCCATTTCCATTTTTTAAGGTATTACAGGTACCTTCCCTTGGCCCAACTTGCCCTGCAATGATGCCGTGATCATGTGCCGCTAGTGGCTCCCATCTGGTGGTCTGGCATGAGGTGGAAGGCGCTCTCTTGCTTACGCTGCTTTACCATCGTCAGTCACCTCTCCCCAAAGGAAGGTACCGCAACCGACCGGCCTCGTGCTTCTGCCTCCTATCTCCTCCTTCTCGCACTTCTAGAAACTTATGGCAAGATGTTCCATGCGTGGGCGACTACTTACCGGACCTCAGGGTAGGTACGTACTTGGATCTCTGGTCATCCACGAGGGAAAGAACATCAGGAAAGAGCCATCTCAGTGCCTTGGTTCTAAGACCAATTTAAGGAGCACATCCCACAGTCAAATCGGGGTTCAGGGGAACTTGTGCTGGATTGAATCGCACCGAATACTATTTCGACATACGAAAGGAGAGGAAGCGGTTGGGTTTGGAGAAGGTCTTGATATCGACTGCATGGGAACCGGAGCCTGCTCATTGAGACGAGAAACGGGTCTTGCTCTCTACGATGCTGCGAACAACTTCCTTCCTCTATTGAGAAGTACATCGTACGTGTGGTTGCGTCACTGGCCACAGCTCGTTCCTAGACCTTCATGGGAGGAAGGAGAGGACAATGGCTTCCTTCCCACGACTCAGCTCTGCAGGATTCTCTCACATTCTCCCCCGTCCTACTTAATCCCACAAGGGCCCCCATCTCTGCTCTCTTCTTCCTTTCCTCCTCATCCTCTCTCTCATCTCTTCCGCTCCGTTCCTTTTCTCCCTGCGCCGTCATTGTCTTTCTTGTTCGCGTCGTTCTTTGCGTATCCAATCAGATCAGCGTATCCTACGTATTCTACGTGTTCTTACTACACCTAGATCCGCCACTGCCGATTGCCCAATATGCGGGGCTCTCTTCTTGCCATGGCGGCCATGGCGCAAGTGTTTTCTTCCTCTTCATTCTCAGTAGAGCCTGCATCTAACAATCCCTCTCAGTGCTGAAACCTATGCCCAGCCAACCTGTCCCGCGGCGGCAACCGCCACGGTCTTTGTCACAGTCGACTCCAACAACGATCCTGGTCCCTCGATCATCGTTCAGACTGTCACAGCAACCGTTCCACTCTCTGCCTCTTCCCCTTGGTCTCCTGCCCAGTCTGGTCAACCCGGTCTTCCGGCCACTCTCACTGTCACCATCGACAGCTACGATCCCCCTCCTGGAGGATCTCAGTTCACCGGCCCCAAGCCTTGGGAGTCTTCCCCTGTCACAGCCGTCCCTGCCACTGTTGTCACTGCTACTGTCTACTCCCCTGGTTCTGGCGATCCTAATGGTGGTTCCCCTGGTTCTCCTGTATCCCCTGGTGACTCGCGACCTGGTGGTCAAGGAACGACAACTGTCACACTTCCCGGCCCTCCTGGCTCTCCCGGCTTGCCTTGGAACCCTTCCCAGTCTGCCACCACTGATTGCCCGTTTGTCACGGATGACCCCAATGGCGCTGGCAGCAACACTGCGGGTGCCACAGTCATCACTACGACACTCTACAGGACAGACGCCAACCCAGGTCAAGCTACACCCGCCGTGGACTCGGTTGTTGCAACCTTCACAGTCACCTTCCCACAGCCTGCCACCACTGGATCTGTTCCTGGCTCTGCTGCAACCGACGGTGCTGTCCATCCTGCGTCTGGTGAGTTGTTCACTTACACTTTGACTGCACCGGCTGCCACTGGGCCTGCCGCCACCAACGCTCCCTCTGGCTCCAACAACGGCAATGGAGGTTCTGTCACTGACTTCACCACCACTCTCTACCGGACTCATCCTGACTCTGGCCAAGGAACACCTGTCGTCGACACACTTGTCACCTGTTTCACTGTCACTTTCCCTTCTGCAACTGGCACTGGACCCGTCACTGGAGTCCCTGCAGCTTCAACTCCCGCTCCAGGAAGCCCAGGTAGCCCGGGCAACGGCGGCTCTGTTGGCATCACGACTCATCACGTTCCCACTATGGTTCCTGGTCCTGATGGCTCCCTGAGCTACTCCATCCAGACTGTTGTGTCGAGTTTCACAGTTCCAACTCCCGGCTCTCCTTCAATTGCGGGCTCAGGTGTCACAACTGTCTATGTTCCTGCTAACCCTGCTGGCGCCGCCACCACCGTGGTTTTCCCTGCCGATCCCGCGGGCAATCCAGTCGGAGGTCCTTCGACTGTTGTTACCACGACTCTGTATGCGTCTCAGCCAACCATTGGCAATGGCAACCAGCCTCCTGACCCTTCCGATCCGGGCAATGTTGTCGTCTTCACCTTGACAGTTCCTCAGCCTCCTGCCGGTAGTGCTTCAACTTACACCACGGTTCTTCCCAGCATCCAAGGAGACAACGGTTCTGCCGGCCCCAGCTTTGTCTCGGTTTCCACTGCAACAATTGTCCTGACGTTGCCGACGCCTCCTACTACCCCCGGAGACACCACTCCTCCCATGATCCCTGGTGGCTACGGTGACTCTGTCCTCCCTGGTGCATCTGGAAATCCTTCGACTGGTGCTCCCGGCTCTGGCACTCCAGGATCTGGTACTCCAGGATCTGGCACTCCGGGCTCAGGCGCCCCAGCCATTCCGATTACACTCACTGTTCCCGCAGGTGGTGTCTCTCCTACGGATACCAACGGTCTCCCTGGTGGTGGAATTCCCATCACACTCACCATCCCCATAGGGGGTGGCTCCCCTACGGATTCGAATGCCCTCCCTGGCGGTGGGATCCCAATCACACTTACCATTCCCGCAGGTGGTGTCAACCCGACAGATACGAATGGTCTTCCTGGCGGCTACACCGATCCGGCTCAGACTGGTGTCCCCCCTTTCGGCGGTTTGCCTGGGCCACAGATCACTGTCACTGTTGCCTCAGGAGCTCCCGATGCAGGTGTCCCAACTACCGTTGCTGGCGTGCCAACTTCAGTCATTGGTAGCTACTCTGTCATGGTCGACCCCGCAACTGCTGCCGCTGCCTCTCAGAACTCGCCTTCTGTCATCACTCTCTGGCCGCTGTCATCGACGGTTGACAATGCTCTTCCTGGCGCTGCAACATCAACTTTATGCACCAGTTCCGAGTCCACTTCCACGACCGTGCTCACCAGCAGTTTCATCAATGTCGTTGCAGATGAGACTACCACGTACACGTTCCCTTACGAGTCTCTGGTGACCAAAGTCGATACCATCCTCGCCTCTGCCTCGGACGTCGCTGTCACTGGCGGTGCTGCTGGCTCTGCCATTGTCTCTACCATCATTGGCGTATCCACCATTCTCGGAGTCTCTACCATTGCTGGTGTTTCCACCGTCGGTGGCCCTATTGTAACCGCATCCACGGCCTCTGCCCCTGCTGTCACCGTCTCTCCTGCCGGCATTCCCTCTGTCTCCACTTGGCAGAGCGTTGTCGTGCAGAGCTCTGTTGTCCAGGTCTTCACTACTGGAGTCTTTACCTCTCTTGTCCAGCCTGGCGGAGTTCAGAGGCGCTACGTCAACACAACTGCAACATCCAGCACACCCACATTGACGCCTGTCCCGACGCCTATCTGCACCGGTACCACAGAGGTTGGCAATCAGGTCCTCGATGTAAGTTGTTCCGCTCTTGCTGTCTCATTCACTTGCTGACTGTTTGTACACAGTTTGATGACGTTTCCTCCGGCCCGCTCTTCAACCCTTACCATCGGTTCTGGTTCTCCAAGGGCTTCCTCGTTGGCCCCCCTCCGTTGATACCCTTCCTGCCGTCCTCAGGCGGCCGCCTCGTGGAGTTTGTGCCCCCAATTCTTTCGAACACATCTTCAGATGATGTCTCCGGCGACACGGCGCAGATTGGCATGGGAAAGCTGGTGTCTTCTCCTTGCTTCCAATTTGACTTCTTCGGCATGAACCTAGGCTGTCACTCTGACTCCGCGGTTCCCAACCAGCTTTGTGTCTTCACTTTCACTGGATACAGATGGGATGCAACCAACGCGACCGAGACAGAAGCCGTCAGCCAGAAGGCTTGGGTCAACGCTTGCAATCAGTCTTCCGGCTGCCCACTTACTCCTTTCTCGGCTGTCGACTTCACCGATCTCAGCTCCATCCTGATCACTCTGCAAGTCGATGGCCGACCTCAGGTATGGTGGTCTGATGACATCCGTGTCGGCTGGAGCAAGAATGATTGCGCGACTGCCAATTGTCGTCAGCAGTTCCAGCCGGAGAATATTCAACTCCACGCTGGCCCTTTCTTCTACTGGACCAGCTCCGGCATGAGGGTTTTGTCCTCGTCTAGAATCAATCGGGGTTGAGTCTACAGGGACACATGATGATTACAAGAATGATTGCAATAATGGTGGATTGAGAACTGTCGTGTTGCTACACCATTTGATCCGAATTTCTTGGGCGGCTCATCGCGAGCCGGGATGTGTGCTGAAATGACCATGGGAGAAAGGACCAACTACACTTATGTATGCTATTGCTAGTATTCTACATGAATGATTTTGGAGGTCCCATACTACTGTATTTGTCTCATGTCGCTTTCTTGTCTCAACTAATTGCATTGAAGCAATATGTGAGCTCTGAGTGGGCGTCGAGTGGTGACGTGCGGCATCAAGGATCACTTGCAAGGCCATGTTCATGTTGGACAGGGCGACGTCATCACGCGTTCTCAAACCTGGCAAATTCTAGACACAAACATGAGGCCGTAGTGTCCGGCGAAGAAAGGCAGGAATCGAGTATGTATTCGAGGACCGAAAGTGGGCAACAGGTATTATGAAGGCTTGAGCGTAGGCTGATGAGCAACCCAGCTACATCTCCCGTATGTCAGTCTGATAGTCACCGGTGCAATGGACAAACCTTAGGGATAGCCAATTAAAAAGGAAAGTGACAGCTGAAAGGCTCAAGATTTGACATTTCCTCTTCCATCTGTTACTCTACTTCAGAGCCCCATTCTCCCAACGCCGCGCGCAAGCTCATCGATCTCTGCAGCATGCCTCACGCCTTCGGCCGAAGAGTGATTTCGGCCGCCCACGGGAGAGTTGCATTCCGGACACACCGTCTGCTGCATCGCCATGCCACACTCCCCAATGGTGAAGGGATGTCCGTTGCGGCATGTGTACCAGTGCCCTGTTCCCAAGAATTCCTTGCTCATGGCCGCGTAGACGGCTCGCATTTCGTCCGTGGACACATCGCTGTAGAATATCCCGTCGTGGAGCATGCGCTTCGCCGTCTCCACTTCGGATGCAAGCATCGCAGTGAGCGGGTACTCTTTAAGGATGTCCTCAGCTTTCTGAAGGTGGTCCTCGCCGAGCTTGATTATCCTCTCTCTCGCCGAGGAGCCTTCTGCTTTGGGTGTATCTTGCGTGCCAGTCGTCGGCTTGGTATCGTCAGGCGGTGCAAAGTAGCAGAACATGGCAAGAAAGATGTGCCCTTCGACTTCTACTCTGGAATAATTCCTCATGTGAGCAATCTCGATCAGTCGCTCGCAATCCTTGATGTATGGCACCGCATCGATATTGGCAGACTTGGCGCCGTTGTTATCCGTGGCATTGCGGCACAGACTGATGTAATCAGAAACCAGAAGGAGATCGCACCGCAGCGAGAGCGTCATGGCGTCCAAGAAACCACCCATCTGAATTGCCGACTCGTCAAATGAGTAGTCGCTGGTTTGCCGCCGCTTGTTGACGTGCCAGACCAGGTGTGCCACACGCTGGTACGGCTGTTCCTCTTTCCAGACCGCCCCGAGGAAGTTGGTGATCTGGTTCCGGAGCATCCTGAGGGCCATGTACCGAGTGTCTCCCGTGAGCTTAAAGAGATGGGTCATTTGTTGCTGCCGAGATCCCCTAAGAGCAAAACTAGATTGGGCTGTGGGAAACCCTGACTGTGTTGTAGGAAAGCTGAATTTGCTCTTCTCCATCTTCTGCAGAGTGTCTTGCGCGGCGAAGAATGCGTCGGTCAACTTTTGCTTGACGCCATGGGCCCAGCTGATGAATTTTCTCGTTGACTCATCTAGAAGTCCACGGCGAACGATCCTCCCATACCTGGAGATGTTTCTTAAAGATCCTCGGCAGTCGGGGCACACCTTGATGTTAGTCGCTGAGAATGGATGAGACCCTGATTTGATGGTCGTTGGCACTCCGTCGGGCGAGACCTCGTAAAGATCGTGAAGCCCCATCTGTCCGTCCATGGTTTTGTAAGTGAAAAAGTGGCCACAGTCTGGAAAGATACAGGGCTCCTCGTCCAGGTCCACTGAGTCGTAGTCGTTCATGAGGATGAGGTCAACCACCCTGTTCTTGATGTCATCCGAGGCACACGTCTGGCAGTATTTTTTGTCTGGACAACGTTCTCCGCAGATAGAGGGGCCTTGTCACTGTTAGAGTGTGCACAATTGCCCGGGAGACAATGACTTACATTGATGCCCGCAATTCAACACTTCGGTACACCGCTTGGTGCAGGGGATCCAATCGCAAGGAGCCGCGCAACTGTTATCGCAAGTCAGAAAAACCTCATAAATTCCACAATCACAGTTTGACGTTGTACTCACGGCATTGAACACTTAGAGTGTGGGCATGCGGATGGGCACGCCTCCTCTGCACACGGTGGGCAAGGCTCATAACATTTCTTGCCGCACTTTGAGTGCACGCATTTGTTCTGACATGGAGATGAACAGGGAGGGCAAGCTCCATCTGCATGGCAAGTGTCTCGGCAAGAGTGACTACAGGATGTGTAGGACCTTCCGCAGGTCTGTCGACAAGCTTTGTGGTCCTCTTCGACCACTTCGCCACCCTTTCTAATGAGACATGCCGAGCACGGCGACTTGCAGGCATGGCCACAAGGCCTCTGGAAGCCACACTCAGCCCTGCAGAGATAGCTGTCCCTGGCAACGTCCACGTGGCAAGACACCTTCACGGTATGATTGCATCCTGGCACCTCTTTGTCGACTTGGACGACACATTCGATCAAAGATGGGTCCTGGGCTTTCCAACAAGCGACGGTGTCGAGGATGTGACCGCATGGAAGCTTGAAACCAATGCCGCGCAGCACCTCGGTGCACGGCTTATCGCAAGGCTCTCCACAGCGTCGGCGGCATGGGTGATCGCAGCTTTCCTTTGGCCTTGCACAGTCCTCGAGACATTTAATGGCGTTGTGAAGGTGATCGGAGTGGCAAGGTCCAGTACAGGCGTGGCCACATGCCAGCCGACGGTCACATCGGAGTTTGCATCCACCATCTGGAGAGAATCGAAGGAAGTCCTCTGGCTGTGACACGAAGCTCGTGTTTTGAGGATGTCGCGGACATTGGAGTTCCAACCTATTGCCGAAGTTGCCGCCGTTCTGGAGGATTTCCGTGACTTGCGCCCACATGGTGACATGACTCGAGGTATGTGAATTGCCAATAATGTACATACCGTGCTTAGCTCGAGAGAGAAGAACATTGATGCGGTTGGAAGTACTGAGGAATCCGCATCTCTTGTCGTTGTTGCTGCGGACAAGTGAGATAATGACAACATTGGCCTCCTCGCCTTGAAAGTTGTCGACCGTTGCGGCTCGAACACCGCTCAGAGCATTTGTTTTTGCCGCTTGCCCTATGTTCGTGGAGCTGCCCTGAGGAGAAGTAGAAGCAGATTCCATCTCAGCAAGATCATCCATATCTCGGTCGTTGATGACGATCTGCATAATAGAGCTGAGCTTCTGTCGCAGCTTGTTGAGTTGTCCTAGATAAGGCGTCAAGACGGCGATTTCCCCGGATTTATACACGCCCTGCCTTAGCAGGTGGGATACAAGCCCCGAAACAAGCTCAATCTCGAAATTGTTGGAGTACGACGTCTCAACAGAGTCCTGGTCAGACTTTCCGCCCGATTCCGGGCTTTCGTGGTGGAGCCAAAAGAGCCTTCGTGCCATGCCGGGGACCTCTGGGTAGTCTTGCACATTTTCAGAGTCTGACAAAGATGGGTACAGTGTCGATCGTACTAGTTCCGCAATCGATGGGTGCATTCGACGTTGCGTATCAAGGACGCTGAACGGGATACTCGGGACGTTGGGAGGCGGTTGGACAAGTCTTTCGAAAAGTGACACATCCAGGGAGTACTTAAAGCCAGCCGGGTTTGCACGTTGGAGTCTCCAGTCTTGTATCTGAGGACGTAGCTGAAGGTGATCCCCGATCAGAATGGCATGCTCGATAGTTGGCAAGAGTGCGGTCAAAAGATGAGCTTCCAGAACTTCGCCCGCTTCTTCGCATACAAGAACCTTGCCATGCACTCGCCGAAGAAGGTCAAGATTGGTGGCGAGCCCCGTGGTTGTGACACCAATGATGTTGGCTTCTTGAAGGCAGCGCAGATCCATGGAGCTTCTGATCTTGCTGTTACTTTCTTTGTTTGCCTGGTAGGCCTTGTGTAACCTTGACAGCGAATCAATCTCTCCTTTCAGCACTTCGTCAAGCCATTCTTGGTAGAGCAGGATGCGTTCCTGGTGGTAGAGGTCGGATAGCTTCAAGTGGCGCAAGCGCCGGAGTGGGCGTGTCGTATTGGTGGGCAAGCCGCCGGCGAGCCACTTTTTGACAACATCCCCGCGTGAATAAGATACCGTATGCCACTTCCCTTCGTCGTCATAGTTTGGCAGGGTTGGCCCCATCAGCTCCTCATGTTGGGCAGGATAGTATTCGGCAAGATGAAGACGAATCTTTTCGTTGTCTCTACTGAAGCTGAAGTTCGAAAGCCTATCGCGAATCTCGCTTGTGTTGACGTCCAAAGTCTCGATGGATTTATAGAGATCTCGACCTTCCGCAGCCGTGCGGGTCATGTCTCGAGCAACCGCTCTCAAGTTCACAGGCGCCAACCTCTCAGATTTGGATCGAGAGCCAATGCGAATGATATTCTTGACACCACCATCTAAAAGATGCTCCAACAACTGGTCCAAAGCATGATTGGTGTAGCAAACGCACATAATAGGCCCCAACTTGACTTTCGATTTGTTGGCAAGCAACACTTTGATGAGCGCTTCTCCAGTATAGCTCTTTCCCGTACCCGGAGGACCTTGTATCAGGGCGAAGGATCTTCTCAGTGAATTAAGGATGGCCTCAGATTGAGTCTTATCAAGGCTAGAGTGCCTACTTAGACGTGACGGGTTGATAGCATCGCCGGGCGCGTATGAGAGTTTCCTGCCATCGTTCGATAGGCAGCTCAGATCGAAGGAGAAACCGGGTCGCTTGGAGTAGAGTGGAGGAGATATGTCCGCTGGTTGACTCCCGGCACGAAGCGTTAGGATGTCTTGGAAAGGAAGGTCCAGCGTCCGTGACATATCTTGCAATGCCTTCAATGGAGGGGCGAAGGAAGGCAGTAGGATGGAGGGGAATTCGAGAAGACGACGGTGCTGGCGGACGATCCGCATGGTCTTGAACCACCTGAGTGATCTCTTGATCTCTTCGACACCTGTGTCAACCAATTGGAGATGCACGTATGCGTGATTTTGATCGTCGAGCAGACTGTAGCGCGGTCCCTTCTTCTGACCCTCCTCTTGATCGTCTGCTTGACCTAGCTGGTTCTCGTCTTTGGGCGTCCTGATGGTCGACCTTGAAATCTGAAAGAAGAAGATACCGCCCACTCCATCAACAATACACACAAGAGACCCATCCATGAGTCTCTTTCCTGCCCACCAAGTGCCGCGTTGCAATTTATCCAGACCTCTTGTAGGTCGAGGTTGGTCAATCTGGACAATGAACTCAAGGCCTGACCATCGGTCGAAGGTCATGTCAACAGCAATGGCGTTCTCATAGGCCACGACTCGTGTCCTAACATCTCGCACCTTGACGGCCGACTCCACTGTCGTGCGGATGGCGCTGCGTAAATCGTGGAGTGTATCCTCGCGTAGGAGACGGAAATGACGATCTAGCAAACCTCGCAGACCTTGTAGATGATGCTGTGCGGGGTTGGCAACTGGCAGGTATTCATCTCGTGAAGACATGATTTCTTGATGAGTGGGCATCAGCTTGATATCTGATATGTCTTGGTGGTCATTGTCGTGGCGCTCGCGACGTTTTGAGAGTCTGCCAGGCAAGTCCTGGCTGAGAGTGAACTCGGCCATGGCACCAGACGACGCGGAGACATGGACAGCGTCAACCAGAGTTTGGCCGATCCCCAAGCGACGGCAAACATAGTCGAGGTGTCTGTTTGCTTGCAAGGAATGGAAGTCGCTTTCCTTATTGCCAGAAACATCCAATCGCAGCTTGATTCCTTCGACAATAGGATGAAAGAGGGCGTTGACAATGTTCGAGGTGCTGGTGTTGATGACTTTGGCCAAGACGCCGCAGGAAAGAGCAAGTGCTTCCATGCCAAAGATACCAGTACCTTCGAAAGGTAACTCAGCCCAATGATCGATGATATCGAAGATGAAATTGAACAGAGTCTTCAGACGAGTGGCGTCGATTCCCAAGAGTAATCGATAGAGCATCGCGGTTTCCTGCTCAAGGACCACAGAGTCTACAACAGTTGGGTGAAGCATAACTAGGAACAAGGGCGAAATACGCGATTCCCAAAGAATTGCTTTGTCTTTGGGCGTTCTAGTAGTGGCAGACCCCTCAATAACATCTCTGACAAGCGATAGTCGAGTTTCAGTGGCCATCTCCTTGACAACCTCTTGTGCCAGGCTCACATCTTGCTCCACTAGAATGATAGCAGTGCGGAAGAACTTCGAAGTGGTCTCGTCCCAGAGCAGCGACACCTGTTTTGGCTGAGGTCGAAGTCGTTTCCACTGAAATAGCCGCTCACGCTCAGGGTTACGCGCTTGGTTTGAGGCATTGTGGGCTCGGCCATCGCTCCGTCTGGCATTCGCTGCCGAGTCGTTGAGTGCGACATTGCTAGGTCGCCCTTGACCTCGTGGTTGGCAATCCGACTTGTCGCCTGTATCGTGGGAGAATTTGCACCTCGAACCAAAGCGACAGGTTCCAGTCCTCACGTAATAGTGGCATGTACCTTTTGTAGACGAAGTCGCTCCCGGGCGGTTCCTAGCACATGACAGACGTTAGCTTCGAGATCACGGGTTGTAGGCTTTAGTAGCCGCCATAACTCACCCGCCGTTTGTCCACATCTTCGGGCGCTTTGTAAAGTAATTACTTTTAAGACGTTGGTAGATAATTAGGGTCAGGCAATCGCTCAAGAATATCTACAGACTGCAGTGACTCAGGAAGATAGGCCAGCAGAGGGAGCATTGTCGAAATGGGGAGCAGCTTCGCCCTTATGAGGCTCTGGCTAAGTTAGTCGTATGCCAGACAAAGCCAAGGATGGCATTTCCAGCAAAAGGAAGGTCCATGCAGCAGCTTCAAGAAGGCTCTCTGCATAAAGGTCCAGGCACCAACCAAACAAAGCCTAAAAGCTTCATTGGCCATCTCGAACGTACAGCGCCGGAACTGGCGTGATTTTCCCTCCGCCGCAGGGCTTGTGAGCTTTCGTTGGACGGGCCTCCATCGCGTGTTAATAGGAGACTGGCATGGTGTTGTGGGCACCCTGCAGCGCAGAAGCAGGAGGCCGTCAACGCCAAAGTATGCGGCTCCTCCCGCGACGAATGGGAAGGCGAGGCGGGCTAGGGATTCAAGACAGCCACCAAAGGGAAACGGTATGCCAGGGAGAATTCAGCCCAACGGCCTCCTGATTGGCCTCGGGTGCCGTCATATCGCGGACCAACATGGTGCTGCGGCCGTTTCTGCCAGATGTTGGGGCTGAGAGGGTCGGAAAACTGGCCTTCAGATGACCAAGATGCCAGGGTGCGGAATGAAAAAGTCGAAATACACCGTGATGGAACTTTTGGGATGGCTGAGACAAGAATCTCGCGATAAAAGTCGGATATGCAGTCGTCAAATGTGAGGTAAGTTGAGGTTGGAGTTGCACGGGCGTGCCGTTCGGGGCGCGACAATTGCCTGCACTGAAAAGAGACCGGGAGTGCTTTCCGCCTAAATTTTAACGACAACCAGGTACCCTAGAAGACTACGTTCCGTGTCTCCTACCTGAACCACGATTATGTTAGCAGAGTCAACTACAACCCTACGAACTGGAATATACCAATCGAATAACCATGGAACCGGCCCAAGTGGGAAAATCATCCAGACGTGATAGCTTAGTGATAGCTTTCGTCGGGGAGACCTGTCCGAGGATTCTTTCTTGTAGGTCGCGACTCAGCTTCGTTCGTTTCATACGAACAGAAAAGCCATCCTACGAATGTCAAGACTATACCATTGAGGAATTTGTCAAGACTCGAAACAATATTCAAAATTTGAAAATCGTATATGTCTGCCTATATACTACTGATAGTCGGCTTATTCTTCATGTCATCCACCTCACCGCCGCTAAACTCGCGTATGAAGCAATATAGCCGGTTTCCGCGGGTATCCCTTATGACCCTGGCTTCGCATGACCATCATAGTGAGTTAGCGGCTAGTGCAGGAGGGTCGATTGGTCTTGCAAATTGCCGTTGATACGACTCCCAAGGATTCTGTCGAGCGATATTCCACCAGGGTGAAAAATTACTCTATGGGGGGCAGCAACTCGGTAGTTTAATCCAAGAATTCCATTCTCCCCAGCGCCAAGAAAAGTAAACATTCAGTCAAGGCTAGCCTATACAAAGACCAGATGCCACAATTATCTTCATCCCTCAGGGCGCGTGCATGGATCGATGCACAAAGTGGGAGGATGCCCCGGGTCGGCCCAGTGCTTGAGGTTTGTGCATGTGCAAACCACATACGTCCATTTGGGGTTGCCTCCTTTGTCCACGATCGGAGCCTCGAACTCGAATTTGCCTCCACTTTTGCTTTGCACTCTCTGACAATTTGGCCTGTCGTCAGATTCACTTAGATGGCCATTGACACGGAGCATGCTCGGGATGATCAACATGCTGCAGCGCCAACGTTTCGGCCCCGGCGCCTCCGGATCACCACAGTCGCTAGTAACACCTTGTGCGATTGAGCTAGTGACGGACTCCGATATCGTGAAGCTCATGCCTATGCTCATAATCTTATCCTTGGGGCCAATTGTAAAAGAGACGCCCGCGGTCCATGTTATACCAACCGTATATGTTTTAGTGACGCTGATTTCTGCGCCATGTTAGCCCTCAGACTTGCGTGGAGTTAGGTCAGCTCACCTACTTTCACCGCCTGGCACAGAAAGACCAATCTGCCATCTTTCTCCCGTAACTTCAGTCTTGTTCTCGTATCTTGGGCAATAGTATCCAAAGTTCAAAGGGATAAACATCTGGGGGTCCGCCAGGCCTGGGGTTGAGAAGAGGGCAAATGCCATTGCAAACCACACAAGCAATGCCATAATTATAGGTACGTTGAGCGCGGATTGTGTTAGAGCAATTAGCAGATGCTAGACAGCTACCTTGAGTGTGGAGGGCCATGTGTTAATAAGTTGCCAGAACCCGGGACCAAGTGTCAGGTGACAAGTCGTTTAACGCCTGATCAGTCTTGAGCTTGTTGATGCGGTGCTTCTTGTGTATCAAAGCCGCATTTCGTACGTTCAATAGTTTAGGGTAGACTTTACAGAAAAGCCTCATCACTACCACTGTTGGGTCACATCATGCCATGGGCGTTGTGCGCGCATATAATACACCGATTTGACACCGGCACCTTTTGCCCGATTGGTATTCTTCCTCCTCATCATGACAGCTTGTTGCACATAGATACAACTGTCATGTAGATAGAAAGCACATCGAACACCGTTTCCAGCTAAAGTTGGCAAGGTGCCGCCTCACAACCTAAGAACCACTGCGGTTGAAGAAGGCCGCCCTCGACGTTTGCGGCCGGCGCCCGTGTCAGCTATCCCGTAGTTCATCGTACTTGTTTCTTTTTGGATAAATATCAGTACATGAAGTTGAGCGCGTGCTTAGGGTGTTTTACGTCTATCGAAAAGTCAAATTACGTACCTTATAATGTGATTTCTCTTGAAAGCCTGACCCAGTCAAGATCGATCTTTTGCGCCTGTAAAGCCGGAATAGAAAAGCCCCCAATTGTCTTACAACATTTGTTCGTAGATCGTCAATGATGCGTCGGATAAGCAACTTCAGAAAATCACAAGGCAGACAGGCCTGGCGAAACACTGACCAGAATGTTTTGTTCTACACCAAAAGCGGGATCAGTCAGTCAGAAATCAGGCTTTCCTGCCAGGATCCAACACCTCACTAAAAACAATCTTTTTGTTGGTATACACGTCAGCAGAGCAGCCTGAGAGCCGGCAAAAAGCTCAATAATCTTATGATATTGAGCTGCGTATGTATGTGTAAGGAGGAAGTGCGGTCGTTGGTGAGGCAAGCTATTCTGTCTTGAGAAGCCGTGGCGAAAGCAGGGCTCTTGTTGGCGGATTGGGTATTCGCAGAAGAGGCGCGGGCGGTTGCGAACGGTTATTATTTCTACTAGTTCTACTATTATTACCTTTTGTCTTTTATATATTCCTTGGAGAATATGATAGACATAAAGAGATTATAATTCTAGAATAATTCTTAGGCAGAAGGAGAAGACAATTTGGGAGAGATGTTGGCTGATATAGGATGACGGCTGAGGGAGTAGAAACGAGATGGGGGAGGGGGGGTAGATGGGGTTTATGTATGGCTATCGGAGGCCGCCCGTGCGAGCCCATGGATTCCCAAGAGCGGTTACCACTCAGGACTCAAGATTCCTCCTGCTCTGTGTAGTACTCCTTTTGGTCCCGGCATGAAATTCACGACACAGTCACATGTTCAAGCACAGCAGGAACCTCGTTCGTCTAAGAAACCAAAGTCTGTTGAACTACCAAAAAGACTCGTCGACTCGGCCGGGCTCACTTACAATAGTGGAGGGGAGGGGCTCAACTGTCGCAGCGGGAGCTGGCGGCGAGAGTTCTTGGCTCTCCTCGCAGCGTTGATCACACTAACGTAAGTCACTTTTACGTGTCAAATGCATGTGCCTCAGATGACTTACGGAACAGTGTGACGAGACCCCATACCGGATCATAGTTTCGTACCTCGGTCTTTATTCTTCAAGGAATACATTGAGGGTAAACTGCCGTGAGTAAAGAGAATTAGAATAATAACGAAGGCATGGTTTGGAGAAGTGATAGAGATATAGATAAGGACCGTAAGGTATAGAGCAAAAATTCGTTAGTACTAATAGTGTTGTTTCCTAAGAAGTCCCTTACCTTATCTTACGTTGTAATATTGCGTTAAAGGGGTGGATGCTGAAGTGAAGCCGATATACAAATGGGGTTGTGATTAGAAAAGTTGCTAAGACGAAGGCCAGTTTTGAACGAAAGAGAACGAAAGAAGATACTGAAATAAGGTCTGGGCGAGAGGAACCTCAATTCTCTCATTTATCTAGTTTGCCGCTGCGTCTTGCTCGTGCACCAAGTTCTCAATGTGAAGTCGTCTGTGAAATACGAAGTCGCCAAATGTGGCTGGGCACCCGATGTGGCCCGTGTGGCCACCGGGCTGTGGCTGATGTCAACGGCCCACTCTCCCGTCATGGGGCAGAAAGCTTCTCTTCCCTCAACGCACACCATTCAGTCGCTTCGCTGATGGAGCACTATTCCCTGCTGTCCATCGCACCAAAGGAGTCTAAAGGGAAAGTTCGCGTCTTCGACTCCGTTCGGGGCCCATCTCCGAAAATGAAGCGGCCTCGGCGCGGCCCAGCTCCGACTAGCAAGCAGCCACAGCCGGAACCGGCCGGTGACGAGCGTTGATCTCTCGATGGGGCCACCACCAAGCAGCCAGGCCGTTTCGCCGATTTTGTCCCACACCAGCGGGCGGATTGACGTCCCGATGTCTTGATTCGATGTGTTCAACAGCTCGCCTAAGCATTTTCAAGCTCCCCCGGCAATGATTTTCACCGGCAGTCGCATTCACAGTTCGCAAACAATCGCAAACCGCATAACCATACGTGCGGGACAATACTCGACCTTCTCTTTGACAGCTGCGACGAAGCTCATTTCCACCCACTCACCACTCTACCGCCCCCCGGGATTGCGTGTGTTTCAAAGTGGATTGCTTTCCTTGTTCTCCAAACCCGGCCAGCCATGCAGCTTGCCCGCGGCCGGGGTCGGCGCCGGGGGGTGGTGGTCGTCATTTAGGTGTGATCGATAGTGTCGCTTCCGCGCCCCCATGACTCGAGCAACCAGCGTCGCTTTCGCAGTATTAAGGGCCATGGGGGGTCGCGCTTGAGGATTTTGGCGCCGTTGAAACAGTTTTGGTTCTTGCGACATCGCTACTCATCTTTTCGTTCTTCACGTTGGTCGAGAGTACTGCTAATTGCTTCGGCTATTGACTGCTTAGCAAAGATTCTATGGGTTCGGCAACTGAAGCATGACGACACCGAGAAAGCTTGTGCAAGAAGCCGCTTAAGTTATCGAGGTCGGAGCAAAGAACCCGTGTCTCGGCACTGCGATTGGCGCGCTTCTCCGGAATAGTGAAAAGGGACATAATCATGAGCGCTCCCTCTCCTCACATCGCCCATGATGTCGAAAAGCCAGGGCCACGGCAGACAACGGGGTCGCCTGTCCACGACGACACCGAAGGCACTCGCATGAAGGAAGCCGTGCACGGCGAGGAAAAGGCGCTGCCGTCGTCTTCATCGGACGACGACCCGCCGGGAATGGTGGCGCAGGACACGGATCTGGACACGGATGCTGGGCACGGGGCCGGCGCCGAGGCCGGCGGGATCGTGGGCCGCGTGCTCAGTCGGGCCACGTCCAGGTCCAGCGTCGCACAAGGGCCGCCTCCTGACGGGGGCGTCACTGCATGGATGGCTAGTGAGTTGCTGCGTGCTCCCTGTCAAGACTCTTGGGAGGCTAACTTCCACCACAGTCTTCAGCGCCCATCTGGTCATTATGAATACCTGGTGAGTTTATCAAATCATGACAAGACTGTGCCTCAGCTAATGAACCTCAGGGGCATCGTCAACTCCTTCGGCGTCTTCCAATCCTACTACACAACCCTCCTCGCCCGCCCGCCCTCCGACATAGCTTGGATCGGCTCCTTCGAGGTCTTCCTCCTCTTCTTCATCAGCACCTTCAGCGGCCGCCTCACCGACGCAGGCTACTTCCGCCACCTATTCATCGCCGGTTTTCTCTTTGTGTTCCTCGGCATGTTTGCCACCTCCTTTTGCTCACAGTACTGGCAATTGTTCCTCGCCCAGGGGATCTGCCTGGGCCTCGGCAACGGCTTACTCTTCTGCCCCGCGCTGTCGACGGCCTCCACCTACTTTGACAAGAAGCGGGCTCTCGCACTGGGGTTCGTGTCGATTGGCAGCTCAACAGGCGGGCTGATTTACCCCAGCATGGTCCGCCAGCTGCTTCCGAGTATCGGGTTTGGGTGGACCATCCGCGCTATCGCGTTTGTGCAGGCCGGCACGCTAGTCATCAGCTTCATATTCCTGAAACCGAGAGTCAAGCCCAGGAAAGCTGGGAGCATCGTCGAGTGGGCAGCTTTCAAAGAGTTGGAGTACACTTTCTACGCCATTGGTTCTTTTCTGGTAAGCTCATCCTCGCAACCCCCTTCCACTCACCGTCAGCCTCCCCATACTCACAACAACATGACAGAACTACCTAGGTGTCTTCTTCGCCTTCTACTACCTGGCCTCCTACACCCGCGACATCATCGGCCTCTCCTACAACGACTCCCTCAACCTCCTCCTCGTCCTCAACGGCGTCGGCGTCCCCGGCCGCATCCTCCCCGGCTACATCGCCGACCGCGTCGGCTCCATAAACACCCTCATCCCCATGTCCCTCGCCTCCGGCATCCTCATGTACTGCTGGGTCGCCGTCTCCTCCACAGCGGGGCTTTATGTGTGGACTCCCTTTTACGGCCTCGCCGCCAGCGCGATCCAGAGCCTGTTCCCTTCGGCGCTGAGCCAGCTGACGAGCGACCCGAGGAAGCAGGGGACGCGGATGGGTATGACGTTTACGATTGTGAGTTTTGCGGTGTTGACGGGCCCGCCGATTGCTGGGGCGATTATTGAGGCTGAGGGCGGGAGGTATGTTGGCGCGCAGGTGTATGCGGGTTCGTGTTTGCTTGCTGGTATGTGTTTTTGGGTGGCGGCGAAGATGGTCAAGACGAGGAGGGCTGGGATGGGGTTGAAGGTTTGGGCCAAGGTTTGATGAGGTGATGATGATGAGGTGCTGATTTGGGCACCGCTTGATGTGTTTCTTTGTGTATAGAGTGCGGTACAAGTCTGATGGGACGACTAGAAGCATCGAATACTCACGGGGTCATATAATGTAATTACTCAACGCTGTCGTACGGCGACGATGTCACGGTATTGATATCCATCCAGGTTTCGTGGCCACCTCCATCCCATGAACCTTGGAAACTCTCATCTCCAGGAGAGAGGCCCCTGAGATGAGCCGCAACCAAAATTGCTTCCCTTCAACCATTCTCACCGGGCCCCCTCCGACGAACCACCATCACCACCACAACCGCGAATTCCATCGACACACCACTATACAGGACATGATAATCTCTCCGGTAGGAAAAGCACAGGCTATACCACCTAGTCGCTCTCTTTTCCTCTATGAACCTACACAAAACAGCACGCTAACAAAAAACACAAGCAGGCTATCAGACCCAGTATCCTACCACCACGACATTAACCAGAGTTAAGGCAAGCCTAGACAAGGTACGTAAAAACACTTCATCAGCACTCACATACTCTCTTCCCTGCCTTCTCAACTTCCCTCCAATGAGACGCAGTACCAAAAAAGCCCCAAGTCATCACCCGCATTGCATGCCGGAAGCAATGGTCAACACTCCCGGCCGGCCGTTGTCAAACAACGGCGGCGCAACGAATTTCGTGCATAATCGAATGCGAAGCAGCTGGGCCACCCGGCCGTAAGGTACCAGAGGAGCTGCCCCGCATCCACATCCATCCGTTAACTATTCCCGCATATCCCGCCCCCACGTTCCCTCCGGAGATGCTGGGAAGCAAGTTGATGCAGAGTAGAAACGTCTTGTACCGTATCCCGGATTTAAAAACAGAATATCCCATAATTCCCAAAGGTATTCCAAGGTTTGCCTTACACACTGAAACCGGTGCGCATCCGTCAGAAGGCAGGTGATCCGATGCAAGTATGCAAGTCCCCTTATACCCCCCCTCTTCTAGAAGCACGTCTACGGCCGTTTGACATTTTTGAACTCGCGTCAAATGTCCAGCGCCTTGCGATAATTGATATGGCTCACAGTTATTACAGACAGGGACCTTGGGAGGCAAAGAGTCAAGATGAAGTGGTATCTCTTATTCATTCAAGATATTCATCTAAATGCTAAGAAACCCAAGCACCAACAGAAACCAAAAAACTCAACGCTATGCCTATCTACCTTACGTAGTGGAAATCTATCTACACAACAACAACAACAACAAGAAAGGAAACAAAAGGAAAGAAAACAACAGAAGCAGTCAAAGAAACCCCCCAACCATCCTTCTCACACTCTCCCCGCCCAATAACCCCTCAAGCCTCGCCATATCAAGCTCCCCGAGCGCAGGGTACACCCGCTCCCGCGGCACCTCCCCGCCCACCGCCAACACCCCCTCGTCCTCCATCCACTTGCGCAGCGCCGCCTTCATCGGCGCAGGCGTCATGGGCGAGTGGTACAGCATGTGCAGCGCCTGCGCGCGCATGTCGCTGACATGCTCGTCGCCCTTGTTGTCGTGCAGGTGCGGGTTCCGCGTCTCGATTTGGTGAATCTGCACTGATGCGTGCGCGAGCTGCCGCGAGCCGTTGCTGCTCCTGCTGCTGCTACGGCCGCTGAGGCTCATGGGCGAAGCGGGAGGCGACAGGAGCTGTGACATTCGTGACGGAGACGACGGAGATATGGGGGTGCTTGCGTCGGAGAGCATGTCGCTGCCGTCATCATCGAGTCTTTGGTGGTGGCTGTTGTTGTTGTTGAACTTGTTGTTGAACTTGTTGTGGTGGTGATGATGATAGTCCAAGTCGCCCATCTGCTCCAAGAGGTAGAGGTACTCATACGGCTCAACCGCAAACCCGCTCGCCATCCGAAGCTTCAGCGCCAGGGACATGGTCATGGCATGCTCCCCAGCATTCCCCGTGGCAATGCAGTCCGTCCCGTAGCCGGAGAACTCTTGCAAAAGGTTGTTCAGCCACTCATTCACCACCCGTGAGCTCCGTCCCCTCCGATCAAACATGAGTCGACCGTTCCGCTCCTTGGGTTTCGAGCTCCACGACACCCGGACCATGGCATGTTCCGCCGTCGCCCTCGAGAGGTGAAACCCAGCAGCATAGCTCTTGCAATACTCGTTGATGGAACCGGGGATATAATTATCAGCATCCACGAAGCCAACATACTCCCTCTCCATCAACGCAGCAACAGCCATGCCAACAAGCATCCCCTCCCCCTTGCCGCTGTGCACAAGCCCATCGTCAGCGCTCACCAGCTCAGGAGCCCCGGCCGCCGCAAACGCATCAGCGAGGCAGGAGTCCTTTTGATGCACCGCGATGGCGAAACGATCCGCCTCGCGGCAAAAGGTTTGCAAGATGTTGACTTCCGTCTCGTACCTGTCGTTATAGCCGCCCGTCCGGTTGCTGTTGGAAACGAGAACGATGAGGCAGTCGTGCGGGATCCCCGAGAAGACGGACTCGATTGTGCGGAACTCTTCATTCATGCAGAGCACGACGATGGCCATGCGCGACTCGATGGCTAAAAAGTCGTCCCGCGAGACGGTGAGGCTTGAGGAGGTGCTTCGGCCTGATCCGGCGTCGAGCTCGATGACGCGCTGGAGTTCGTTGATTTGTATTGAGCCGAGGCGCTCGAAGCGCGAGGGCCGTGTAAGTCTCATTGTTGGAAGAGTGGTGGTGAGCGTGTGTGAGAACGGCTCGTGCCGAAGTGAAGGTAGAGTGAGATTATAAGATGTGATTGGGAGTCTGGTTTGCTCTGCTGAAGAGGAATGGATGTACCCGGATTCAAACAAGGTCGGTATGGTTAAATAGGTCTTTGAAATTCGCTGGAGCAGACTTCAGAGCAGTTGAGTTTGGTGACTCTTACCTCTTTCTTCCCAGATATCCAAGCAAGACCCCCTTCGCCGGCCTTCCTTATATGTATTAACATTAGTCCCTGTGATACAATAGACCAGGTTCGTTGTCCGCCCCAAGCACCAACGGTAACAGGGAGTAAGTAGTGTGCGAATGGTAAGAGTAACGGTTGGGTCAGTTCCAACGGCCGTAATCCGGTAACCCAGGTAGGTAGGCCAGATCTCGAGACCTCGTTCGAAAAAAGGGCCCCCAACGGGTAGACTGTTGTTCATCACGTCTCTGTCCCACCGCATTGGTCAGTACTGCGACAGGTTGTTCGTTGTTCGTATTTGCCTAAAGGGTCGTTGCAGCCCGTTTGCTGCGTCTCCGCTGGAGAAGGGGGACCGACGCTATTCGTCAACTTGTGTTCTATGGAGAAGGTGTTCCGTTGACAGGGGGTGGGCAAAAGAAAGAGGAGAAGGAAGAGTAAAAAAGAAAAGAACCGGGATTGTCAGAAAAAAGGATGTAGAATCGAAGTGTGCTTTGCACTGCATTCAACCTACCTCGAGTCCAGTGACCAACAAGCGACCTCCAACACGACCACATCTCGACAGGGGTCTTTACACGCTGCGCCTCTCTCCCGCCGAAAAAGTGTAAGTGGGTAGAAGAAGAGGAAGCATTTCAACAAAGAATGCTCCTCTAGACAATCTCAGCAGAGAGAGAAGACCAGAGATTATGAGAAATTAGACGCCATTCAATATTGTAGATGACAAATCGCATTGCAAGGAAAATATCGGTTCTTACAAAGGCACTACCCAAAAGTGTCGAGGTGAAGAAAAGACGGGCACAGCCGCTGTCAAGATCCCACCACATTGCTTGGCACCGAACTTCAGAACCTAATTGATCCTAGCGATCTAGGCGCATTCCAAAAACCTCACGTGCGTTGGCTCTCTATGATTGACTCAACTCCGGGAAAAAAGTGCGAGAGAGCCTTGTACTGGGGAACTGGGGGTGGCTCTTGTCGAGGCCAGTTGGGCGCGGTTGTGGCTCTCCCTTTTTTTTTTTTTTCACCAACACACAGCCACGCACCGCGGCTGTTGGTTCTCTCTCGTCTTACCACAATCAAGAAAAAGTGCCTGAATGGTTCCAACTTCCGCTTCGCCTTGGGGACCAATGATCTCATTGCTGTGCTGAGTAATTTCCGCCGCGGATCGTTGGGTCTAAATGATAGGCCCAGGGCCGGGGGGTGGCTTGACAGGTTCCGAGTTGGCCTCGTTGAGCTCCTTCAGGTCTTTGGCAAATTGCATCGTGCCATATCACCCCCTCACTCGGTGTGACAGGACGTCAGAGTAACGAGCAACTGGGTTTCTTGTCTTCCTCTCGCTACCGATTGCTCGTCATAAGATACTTTACAATTGTGCCAGGACCGAAGGCTACGTTCCATTGTTTTCCGTACACCCAATCAACCAACATCCAACTCCAACATTCTCAATTTCCAGTAACGACCATTCCCTGTTGCTTCGATCTGCCAGTCATTTCAATTCCTAGCCAATCCTCTCACTGCTTCTTCGAGGGGACAAAACCCAGTCATTCGAGTCGGTGTAGTACCGGTGTCCGTCTTGCCTGGCATCGATGCTAGCAATGTAGTCGTCATCTAGGTGATACTCTCACATCATTCGTCAAGTCGTTTGTAATTTGCATTCCGTCGTTCTTGTCCATCTCGTTATATTGTTCGAACCGGCACAGTCGTCGTAGGCTGCGAGGCGAGCGAACCACTTTCGAGTACTGCTCACTTGTTTCGAGTCGACAGGCCCTTCTTCGAAGTAGGAGCGTAGGGAGCGCAGGTGACCGAATCGCCGCTCTTCTCTTCGTTGGAGGACTTGAAGCTGGAAAGGGTCTTCTCATGCAACTCGCTCATCGCAGCCGCCGGAGACTTTTCGTAAGCCTCTTACTTCTCTTTGTTGCCGCGGATGTCGTCCATGATCCGCTTCATCTCGGCTATGACAGTCTCATCTCATGGATGTGCTCCTGCTATTCCAAGACTTCCTGCTTGTAATTGACAGCCTTGATGTCTCCTTTGAACTCCTTGATGACTTCCTGAACGTCGGTCTTTCTAGCCGATAGAGCATTCGCGATAGTCATCAGAGCCTTCTCGGTAGCCGCCACTGTCTTTTCGATTGAGAACTGCTTTTGATAGAGTCTGTTCACGGTGTCGCTGACTTTCTTTTGGCGGAGTTCCATGGCAACCAACTTCTTTTCCATGTCCTGGAGGGCGTCGGACGCTTCTTCAAGTCGCCCTTGGCTTCTGCGACGGCCTCCAGGACAGGCGCAAGCTTTCTGTCGATTAGGCCCTCGACAGTGGCTTCAGTTACCACGTTGTGGGACTTCATCATCTCGTTTACCATGTCCTTCACGTCGGCTGGAGTCATTGATCGGGTTGTGTTCGAATCCGGACTAGCCATGGTAGCTCCTACCGGATTGAGAGCGCCCTTCGCGATGAAAGCTACAGTGGCGAGAGCTGTTGTGTCGGTAGAAGCTGAAGGTGCGATATCTTCTGCGGAAGGGGTTGTAGCTGAAGAATTTCGAGCGGAATGGCATTTCGCTGTGGAGATTTGAGATTGATAAATTGAAACTGGAGAAGTTGAAGCTGCAGAGGTAAGTAGGGAAAGGCTTCGGCGCAGGAGGCTTTGAAATAATCGACTGGGCTCGAGTGGTGGGTTCATCGAAATTGACGAAACTTCCTGCCTCAGTTCCAAAGGCAGCCTTCTTCTTCTTTGCCTGGTCCGACATGTGATTGTTCGTGGCAGATCGAGTCTCCTCGTGAAGGCGGCTCTGCTGCTGGAGACGAGAGATAGCCAGAGACTCAAAACGCTCCTCTGGGGTCCGACCCTGATTGATAAGTGACTTTCGGTAACCAGCCCGATTTTATTGCCTTTTTCATTGTCAGGGTTTTGGGTCTTTGTCGGACTTGTCTTTGTGATGTTATTACCGATCTGGCTTGTGTTGTTGGCAGGAGGCTGAACTCCGCCATCCCTGGACATTACGATCTGTCTCTCTATCAACTCATCAAAGGTGATGGTGTGGCATCTGCCATGCATTTGAAGCCACTTGCTGTACTGGCTGAAGTCAGACTGTGCAATCTTAGCCCTGCGCAAGTCGGCAAACTCGTGAGAAAAGCATGTGGCAACTGCGGTTTTCTTGTTAGCACGATCGTAAATCATGCTAGCGAGGCAGTTTCTCTCAATGCAAGAGTCGCCTTGAAGAAGGCATCAGGCAGTCCAAACTTGGTTTATGTGTTACTGAGTCCCCTTGTATTTGTGGTCCTCGTCGGCACACGCCATAATCGCAACAGCGCTGCGAATGATGGGATGTCCAGGTCCAGGAACCCAGACGGAGCGGCACAGGATCCTCTTGGCATCCGCCTAATACTCGCCGGCAAGACCGGGGTTGGATCTGATGAACGGTCTACTGATTCTCCTGAACAAGTAAGGGATGCTTTCCTTGTTGGCTCTTTGATTAGCTGCCCAGTATTTGTTGCGGAACTGCTTCTCGAGACGAGCTTCATGGACCATGTTGAACCAGTCCGCTAAGGGCTTCGCAGCCCAGTTGTCAGTTCGAATGTAAATTTCGGCTGTATGATAACGGTTGATGTCAACAATGTCTTCTTGGCCCTTGTTCCTCAGAATCGACTTGGTAGTTGAGTGATATGTGTTTGCACCCAACAGAAGGCCTTTAGTCTGGCGGGTAGTCGTGACGGTGCGCAGAATTTCGTCATGCAAATCCACGAGGGCGGGAGTGTGGACGATCTCCTTTCTCATGGCTTGCTTTGCAACCTCTTCAGAGTATCTGATGGTGGTCATCTTGTGCTTTATCGGAGCCTTTGTTGGAGCTTGTCCACGTCGTTTGAAGGGGTTGGTGGAATGCTGAGGGGCTTCATGATCATCCTCGCTCTCATTGAGGACGTCGGCAGGCCGCTTTAGAGACTAGTGAGCCATACTTGACGAGCGCTGCCCCGGGCTCTGGCGGTCCATAGCGACTGTCTTGCTTGTCACGCCTGTAATATCTGCGTTAGAAAGATAAGGGAATGTGAGTAGTAGAGCCGAGAGATTCGAAGGAAATAGTGTTGATGTTCATAAAAAGACCCAATAATCGAGACAGCCAGTTCAAATCAAACGGTAGACGTGATCGATAAGAAAAAATGAAACCAGTACTCCCTTTGCGATCTGAAGCTACTAGTCTTGACTCTGACTGCGTTGTATTTACAATAAAGAGTAGACGACATGTAGATGAACTGTCGACGAGGTGCAGATGAAGGGCAAGCGAGATGCTGATGAAGTACAGTCTGGTAGACGAATTCCAAGTGAATATGAGAGAAAAGCCGCGATGGGGAGGTGTGGAGGGGGGGAAGTAAACAGAGAGATGAAAGGGTTAGAGATAATCTTCCGCACGGTCAGTGGTGTGGAGAGTGAGGGCACAGAAAATCCAAAATGGAAATTTTGGCGCTGAAGGGAAGGAGGAAGGAGATGAAGCCGCAGAAGGAGCGCCTGCTTGGATGAGAAGAAAGCGCGCCACGCGGTTGTTTTATCGCGGGTAGGAGGTTGTGAGGTGAGGGCTTGTTGATGAAGGGGAATTGAAGCCTGGATATGAAGGTGAATATCACGACGAATATGAAGGCGGAGAGGGAGGTGAGGTCGAAGGTTGCACCAGCTTGTTCCACGACGGTTACCTCGGACACTTACGACTCTATTGGGAGCAGATCATGTCACCAAATCTTTGATGGATCAGGAGTTTGAAAATTTGATGAGAGAGGAAAACTTGCATTTCCATTCTGGTGAAAAACTTTTTACGAGGAGTTGTATCTCACGATCATTCACAGTAGGGTGGAAGGAGACCCTTCGCTGGCCCTTATGGCATCAAGTCTAATACGCGCATCGACCACATCACATCACACCTCCTCTCTGGGGTACCTCATTGAACATTTATTTATTCCAATGATCCTAATATGTTCTTTCGGTTTTGGCGGTGCCAAAAACCTATATGAGATGGTACTCAACGCCGTAGATCTACACTACGCTAACGATGTGTTCTGGATGAGTTCTGGATGAATGAAAACGGATGTAGTCTTCGATACACGTGATATTACATGAGCATTTTCCCTCAATCCGTACTTCCTCTCCATCAGATAGTTGCCTTCGTATGGAGCACCACTCACCTAGCTTGAAGGCAAAGGGCCACTACTGGCGTCACATACGAGAGTCACCGGATGTAGTCCGTTGGACGCAGCCACATCCGTTTGCTCCCAACGGACCAATCCCAGCATCGAACACAAAGATGTTCGGGGCAGTAGACGGTATAGTCCCTCAAAATTCACCAATCGTTCCATTCTTTTGATAATCTACAGAAAATTTGCATGTGACCAATCTTTAACGGTCTAGGACTGCTGCAACCCCTGACATCGACACTCCAAACTCGATAGAACCATACATAACCCTCAGAGCAAAGTGTAAAAAGGTGTGAGATTAATCAGAAACTGGCGTGTATCGAAGCAGAATGGAAGCTCACAGGGCCTCATTCGACTACGAAAATCCGATGACGAGGTTTGGTACATCAGACTTCACTCACATCGCAAGCTCACATCATCCACATCACCAACACAACCACCTGAAGAAACCGCAAACAAACTCAAGAGGTTCGTCGTTGTAGCACCAAACTCCAACCTCCAAAGCCCCCACAAGTCACTACTTTACCTTGGTCCTCACCAACCTAAACCCACATTGCACCCATGGGCCAAACCCCACCCGGCTCCCGCCCGCCGCCCGTTCAATGCTCACATAATCCCCCCCCCCCTTCCCCCTCGGCCCGGCCCCGCGAACGGCTCCGGTGGGATGAACTACACCCATCACCCATCCCATCTTCCACAAACCACCAAGTCTCTCCCATACTATAGCCAACCACACATCCTCAAACCCTTTTCCATGACGACAAAAGCTGAGAAAGCATAGCCTCCCCTCCTCTTCCAAGACGGAGATTTCTCGCCCCTCCAAAGTCCGCTATTCAGTGTTTGTAGACACGATCAGACATATAACTACACCAAGCCGCGCTCCCATCACGATCATGATGAACTCACAAGCGCACCACGAGCTCACCCCTTCCTCTTCTTCTTCTCCCCGGCACCCTCCTTGAAACTCCCTATCCTCCCCTAAAAAGCATCACAACTTCAACTCCAATAACACCATCTAAACGAACATGTCCCTCACCATCCCCAACCCAACCCTCCCCCCCTCCTCCACCATCGTCCTCACCGGCGCAAACGGCTACATCGCAAGCCACATCGCAAACCAACTCCTCCTCCGAGGCCACCACGTCCGCGGCACAGTCCGCTCCCCCTCCAAAACAGCATGGCTAGCCTCCCACTTCGAGTCCACCTACGGCCCCGGGAAATTCACCCTCCACGAGGTCTCTGACGTCGAGAAGGACGGGGCGTTTGATAGTGTCGTCGATGGTACGTCCATTCCTTCGATTCATCCTTCTCTCAGTGGGGCATGGATGGAAAGTGAGGCAGACAGAACAATAAAACTCAACCTCCTTGCTCAAACTCAATTTCTACCTCGCCCTACCTAATACAAGACATCTTCAAACATTGACTAACACACCGAACCAGGCGCCGACGCAGTAATCCACACCCTAGCAATAATGAACTTCTCCCCCACCGGTCCCACCCCGCAAGAAACAATAACCTCAAACGTAAACGCAACCCTCTCCGTCCTCCGCTCCGCAGCCCGCTTCGCCGCTCCCTCGGCAGACAAACCCGGCGTGAAACGCTTCGTCTACACCTCCTCCTCCGGCGCAGCCGCCATGCCCCGCCCCGGAAGCCCCTACACCGTCGACGCAACCTCCTACAACCACCAGGCCGTAGCCATGGCGCTCTCCGGAAAGGGTCCCACGGGCATGGCGGGCGGGTACATCACCTACTCTGCCGCAAAGACCAGGGCCGAGCTGGAGTTGTGGAAGTGGTATGAGGAAGAGAAGCCTGGGTTTGTCTTGAATTCGAGTATGTTCTTCATTGATATGTGTCTTCTTGTTGTCCCGTCCCTACTTATCTTTCCCCTTTATCTGCTTGATCCTCCTCTTTCTATGTCTCGTTGTCTTCCTCTTTCACCCTCTCTGAGCCTAACATGAATAATCAATAGTCGTGCCCAACGCCGCCCTAGGCAAAGTCCTCCTCCCAGAACACCAAGGTTTCCCCACTGCCGTCGGCGCAATGCGGCCTCTCTGGCAGGGGAACATCACGCCCGAGTTTGTCGCAATGTTCCCAGCTCGTAAGTACACGGTCCCCTCCCTCTGCTCTGGTCTGCCTCACTCGAAATACTTAAACAACCATGTCTCCCATCTCAACCCAAGCTAACCACCTCCAGAATGGTACTGCGATGTCATCGATATAGCTCGAATTCACGTCGCAGCACTCCTCCTCGCAGATGTCCAGTCCGAACGCCTCATCGCCTATGCTGGCAAATTCAACACCAACGACCTCCTAGCTGCCTTCCGCCAAATCCAACCACACCGAAAATTCCCCGATGATCTTCCCGATCTCCCCTCTGATAAAGGCACTATTGCCAACGAAAGAGCCACTCAGCTGCTGGAACGTCTTCAGGGCGGCAAGGGCTGGACAAGCTTGAAGGAATGCCTAGCACCGTTGGCTGAACAGTATGCCGCGGCTGAGGCGGAAACAAAGTGATGTCGAAACGAGATCAGAAGCGAATGGACACATGGGCGAGCTTCACCGGGTCGTGTTTTTTGAGAACTCAAAAGCCTTTTAATTGTCCTTAGGGTGCTGTTGAACTGCCGCTTGACTGTTCCATTAGCCCAATTGGATGTTGTATATCTACAAGTCGCGCTCCAGCCAACCCCCGGTGCCAGGCTCGGAAAGTTGGAAAGCATCGTGTCGTAAAGTGAAATTGGTATCTGAGAGTAATTTACATCACGATCTATCGCTATTGTTAGTAATGCGCTCATCAACAATAGTTCGGCTTTACTTACGCAGTCAGACTCATCCTTCCCCTTAGGAATGCCCATCGCCTCGAAGGTGGCAGGTCCCTGGCCTGTCGGTTGCTTCTTGGGAGGGGGCATAGTCTGAGCACTAGGAGCAGGGCTGGGTTGCTGCTGCGGACGCGGCTGAGATGAGGGCGGCGCACTGCCCGTTCGACCCGGCTGCTCGGCAAGGTCTGGTCGGTTGGTGAAGGGCCGGGGCTGCGCCGGTCCAGGGCCGGGACGCGGGTTGCCTGAAGGGCTTAGCGGCATCGAGTCAATTCGCTGAGGTGCCGCGCCTCTGCCGTATCCATGCTGGGCCTCAGGCGGGATGGATGATGTTCGCTGACCAAAGTTGCCAGCTTGTGCAGGCGGCGGGGTAGGCTGGCCGTAATCGCTCGGGCCAAAGCTTCCCTGCTGAGGAGGATACGGGTTCTGCTTGGGCGGCCTGTTTGCGGCTGGGTTGGGAGGAAGGCCACCAGCCGGTGGGTATGGTTGACCGGGTGGTCGCGCTGCGGGACCAGGGCTCGGTTGGCGATATCCTGCAGGTCCTCCGACAGGCACGCGACCGCGGGGATCCGAACCGGCTGGCGGGATCATGTTGCCCATCGACTGTGAAGCGCGAATATTGCCTCCAGGTCCCGGAGGACCACCAGGACCGGTGCGAATACCAAACGCGCTGCCGGGGCGATCTGAGTGCGGGCCCGAGACGGGGCGGCCCCCAGCGTAGTGAGGGGAAAGCTGAGGTCCAGCACCCCTGCCACCGCCGCCGCCACCATGGTGCATCTCATCTTCGGGATAAGGAGCCGTCGATTTCGGTCTGCTCAGGTTGAGCGGAGCAGGGCGGTCGTCCTCTGGGTACGGGGCAGCCGACTTGGGCCGGATGGCAAGGTTGGAGTCAAGGTTCACGGTGAATGCGGATGGCCTGTTCCCCATGCTGCTGGGACGTGACGGGTCAGGGTAGTCAACGCTGTCGTGCGGCGCCGAAGTAGGGTGCACTCTAGGCGAAGGGTGAGGAGATGTCTTGGCCGACGTAGACGGGTAGCCGGGGTGGGCATCGGTAGGGGTAACCGGCGCGCTCTCGGAAACGGTCGGCATGGCATTCGGCTGCTTGAAGCGATCGGGCCTCTTTCCTCGCTGCGAACCATGCTGGGACTTGATCCTCGTCAACGTCGTAGTCTCGTGGTCGGCCTTGGTCAAACTCTTCTCGTGATCCAAGGCGTCGATTCGGCCTCTGGCGTCCTTGTTGCCGTGATCAGCGGCCGCTTCGTACCAGAATCTGGCTTGGCGGAGATCCTTGGGGACGTGAACGCCAATCTCGTAGTAGTATCCCATGGCAAACTCTCCAGTCGGCAACTTGGCGTTGGCAGCATCTTGAGCGTACTTGAAGGCGAGCTGTTCATTCTTGTTGAAGATGCCCTCATATCCGAACAGGAACCATCTGCTCACACCGAGCGACGCCTCGGGTTGCCCTTGCTGGGCGGCCAGTCCGTAGTAATGCAGCGAGTATGCTGGGTTGAAGTCGCAACCGAGCTGGCACAACTCGTAGGCTTGGCCAATCTTCAACTGTGCCTTGGCGAAACCAAGGTAAGCGGCCTTCTCGATGTACATCTTGGCCTGATGCAGGTCTGCCCGGAGCAGGGCCTCTGGAACGTCAATGTCAGGAAGGTCCTTGGCGAGGAGCATTCCATAGACGAACGATCCTTGCGGCGCGTCCTCGTCCGAAGCGTCAGCGGCCTCCTTAATAAGGTCTAGACCTCGCTGGTAGTCTTTCGGATGGTTGTGCTGGCCGAGCAGACTCATCATACCCAAGCGATACATGGCGGCCGAATCCTTGAGTCGCAAGCCGAGGTAGTAGTGCTCGACGGCTTTGCTGTAGTCGTTTGAGTTCTCAAAGAGCATGCCCAGACGATACTCAGCACGCGCGTAGCCAAGTTCTGCCGCGCGCTGGTACTTCATGTACGCATCTTTCTTGTCAGGTCTGCAGCCAAACTTTCCAAACTCGAGCCACTTTGCTTTCATAAAGAGTGCCTCGGGATGTTCCTGGCCCACCAAGTAGTTGACAATATTGATAGCGTCAATGCGCAGCTCGTGCTCGACGTTTGGTGTTTGGCGGCCACTCTCTGGGTCTCGGCTTCTAGCATCCATGACAATCTCAGCCCAAGCCAAGGTGTCGCGAGCCCAGGACAGCTGCATAGAAACATTGTTTGAGTGCAAGACATGCTCGCGGGCGTTCCACAGAATCGTTTCCTTCTCCTCGTCCGTCGGAGGGACGTTGTCACCCGTGAGCTTGGGGAAAGGAGAGAACGAGGGCGCCGCGCTGGGCCGCATCTTATGGGGGTTGTCGCTCGCGCTGTTCTCGTGGAAGGGTCTGTAGGAGTCGGTCGGGGGTGCGCCGGCTTGGGCGTTGGAGTCTCCTTTCGGCGGCAGCGAGGGCGCACCGGAATCGGTTGGCTTGAGAACGGAGGACAGGGACGGCTCACGGCCGTGACGGTTTGTGATGTTGTTGGAGGCGGCAGCTCGGTTCGGGGAGACTTCGCGGGCTTCAAGTTCCATGCGCTGAAGGTCGTTTTGCATATTCTGGGGGACCTGCGGCGTTACACTGGAGGAGAGGTGTGGTCAGCATAAGGCTATCGGGTTAGGAAAAGGGACGCAACAAAGACAAGGAGCGGCGCCAAAAACGGCCCCATCTCCAGTTCCAGCCAGCGGGAAAGGAGGACCCATGGTTGATCCGCCAAGATTAAAATGAGGGAATACGCGTACCGTTGAGGAGCAGGTGCAATGACCTCGGGCATGTAGTAGTCGTCGAACCCTCCAGGAACGAAGGTTGCGCCGAATTGTGGCATCTCGTCAGTTGTGTTTTCGGGCTGAGGTGCACCTGCATAAATAGGAGGATATCGGTCAGCGGGGGTTGAGTCGAATGACGTTTAGGTCGGAGCCACCGCCAGCTTTTTCTGTGTGGTGGTCTCGTTGCTGACAGTTGGGCCGGCCGCCTTCTGGAGCCCCCCGGAAAAAGGAGCTGTTGCTGCTGGCTGTTGCTTTTCGTCGGGCTGATCTGCTTTTTGAGTACGCCCGGCAAGGGTGCGGGAAGGGGGAAAGTAATCCTGAGTGGGGTGGAATTTGGCGAAGAAAAACGGTAGGTAATCAAAAACAATCAATAAAGGCTGAGCTGATGTCGGAATGGACTTGGGGGGATATCCAAGTCTTTGGGTCCTCTTATGAACTGTCTCTGCCTTCACTTGCTCTCTGTCTCGTTGATCCGAAGGGCGAGGATGATGTCCGGAAGCGGGGTGGAGAGTCCAGGTAGAAGCTCAAAGCATCTGGGATTCTCGACGGCGGGCCCTTTCTTTTTAGCGTGCAGAAAGAGCTGAGTGTCCCCTTTTCTCTTGTGTGCGCGAGCCGGCTAGTGAAACATGGGAGCAGCTTCGGATAGGCGTGCCAGGTGCCAATGTTGCATTTCTCTCTCGGGTCAGGAGTGAGGGGGGGGGGACTCCCTTCTCTCTGTCCCATTGTCCAGAAAGCGGGACTGACCAGGGAAGTTATAGAGGAGGAGGGGTCGTTGGTCTCGTCGCAAGTTGTCGAGTGCCCATGGGACTCCACCGCCCAAGCCGCAGCACGGGCGCTAGGTAGTCGTGGCCACTGGCAGCAGAGGGAACGGATGAGCTGAGGAGTAACAAGCCTTTGTCTTTTTTAGTGCTTGTGGTCATGCTGATGTTGGTATGTTGCTGTGCAGCTCCATGCTGCGGCCTCGAGAATTGAAGGGTACTTCGTCTGTACTTTCTGGGCTGGCAGTGGGCGGAGCAGGGGGGTGGGCTGGTCTTGAGGATCAGGTACCGAAAGGTAATCGAGGGGGGCCGCTCCAGGATGAGGCATGTAAGACGTTGGAGACATCTTTCGTCGTTTTGACGGCCGTCCATTCCGTCAGTGACCAGGATGTGTCATCTGACAAGCATGAACAGACGGCGTGGCAGTGGCAGTCCGTGGCCATCCGAAGGCAGAGAGCAAGTATGGTTGAAAGCAGAGCAGCGGTAATCCTTTGGAAGTCTGACATGTGCACATGGCACCTAGCAAGCGCGAAGTTCTCAGTCATTATGCGCTTGACTGTACCTCTTTCGCTTGCAGATGCATGGAATTATAGCGTTGGTTGGCGGAGAAGTACTCCATAGAGCAGCAGCAGCAGAATTCCGGGTCGGGGGTCCTTCGGGCTGCCGGCTAGATAAAATGAGGTGGTCTCCACGAAAGGGAGATGGGGAGGAAAACGGCAAATAAGGGAGATGAAACTTACCACCGGCTTTTCTCAGATAAAACCCAACTTGTCCTCGTCCTCGTCCTCCTTGTGGAAGTTGTGCTTGACCCTCGGAGATGGAATGCGGTCCAGACGCAGCGGCTGTTCCACCGCGACTGGCGCTTCTAGTGCCGCGGCCGTTGTAGTGTGGGCCTCGTACGGCACCCGGCGCATGTCCCTGGCCAAGCCGCGCGTACATCGCCCACCTGGCTTTGTACGCTTCGACTTCGTAGGGTGTCGTTCTCCTTGGGTACATCTTTTGTTTTCGAATGACAGCAGGTGTTTTCGTTCGCGAGATGCCGCGGTAGGTAGGTAGGTGAGGGTTCGGCCGAATCAAGCTAGAACAGAGTTGGGAGGAACCCGCGGGATCGAGTGGCGCATACCGGGACGGGTGTGTGAATGTTGAAACTCTGTTCGCGATGGTAGCTTGTACGTCCGGGTATCGATGCTCCGGAATGCGTGATGGATAGGTCTGTTGATAAGGTAGGAAGAATCGCTTGACGAGCGAGGGCGCCAAGCGATGGAATCTGAATGAGGTGGACAGAAGAATAATATCAGGTGGTGGGGTTGAAGAAGAAGTCTGGCGCGGGGAGGTTGAAGGCTTGGATGATGTTATTATCATTATTATTATTATTATCATTATCTAAAGCAAAAAGAGCAAGAGCGATATCATCGCACGTTGCTGCCTCCTGCCTCTTCTTTTCCAAACGACGTGAAGGAAGGCCCAAAGGGTCGGCCGGTCCTCCCTCACATGGCCTCGCTTGTTACCCGTCCCGTTCTACGGAGTACAAACTTGATGGAAGCTTGGAAGGCGCGCGGGATGTTCCCATGTTCCTTCCCTAGATGAGACACAGCAACCAGCAACATGGACAGCGACATGACGGGAAGACAGGATGCATCTGACCGAGACGAAGCAGCCAATGATTCTCACCATCTCAGTAATCGAATTTTTGGATTAGCAGTAGAAGATGCGATGTCGCGACACAGACAAGGCGGCAGCGTTGCGCTGCAGTCCTCTAATTCCATGCCTACCGTAAGTGGAGATACCTATAATAAATACAGTACTGTGTAAGGACCTTTGGTGGCTGCTTGCTGCATCGCGTTACAGAACACCCCGCCCCCATGTCCTGCCCCTGCAAGGGAGAAGAAATCCATAAAGGGATTCCAATCAGGTATTGGATGCATCACTGGAGCCTGCGCCACTGTCCGACCGTTGAGCCCGGCGCCCCCTTCTCAATCTCACAATGGAAGGCACCTTTTTTCATCCACTGCATTCCATTGCCCCCCAATATCCGTACCTAATACGGATATTCATTCTTATGCCTTATTCTTATGAGATCTCATGGAAACTCTCAAACTTCATGTTGCTAGTCAATCAATCTCCTTTCAATCTTATTATGACAGAGCGAGGATGATCTTGTAGATTCATATGAGGACAAACTCACTCTCCAAGCCAAACCAATCATATGCGGCCCGGGTGTTGGTTGGCAGTGAATGACATTCATACCGTAAGTCCCAAAAACTCAATCAAAGTTCCTCCACTCGGGTATCTCGCGTTTCCCTGCGCAGCCCGCTTTGCTCAGCCACAATGTCAATCTTCGAGGAATGTCTTTTGTGCTGTTTCCAAACATAGAAACAGACCCTTGTCTGCATTTATCGAGTGACCAACGAGTGACTTTGCATACCTTACCATTACCGGCCACAGGCTCGCAGCTGCCCGTCCCGCCCATTGGGGGCCAAGGTCCGATCGCAATCGCAATCGCCTGTCTCGTTATCGTTCTCACCACTCCTTGGCGGCAGCTTCATGAGCATCACGATTTTGGAATCGATTTGCACAGGCCCAGGGGGCAAAGATGCATAAGAGAAACTGGCTCGAACCCATGGTCTTCAAAATATTTCGTCATGTATTCGGGTACACGTGAAAGGAATACCAGTCACCTGACAACATCGACTGTCACCGAAATTACTATGGGAGAAAATGCAGAAAAAAAAAAAAAACAAGCTATCCATGGCATTATGTAAGATCGTGAGCGAACATACGCTTCTGCCATTCAAGGGAGAATTGTACCACTCGGCCATCAACTACAACGGACGCTGCTTGATGAGAATGCCTTTGCCTTTTTTTGCTCACAATACACCTTTCGACACTTCTCAAAACTCATATTCCGAACCCAGAGTCTCTCCAAGCTTACTGTATCATATGAGATCTCGTTCCCAGCTATTAGAGATTTATACCTGCCCGCAGGTGCAATCCAGTCAGGATCATCGCAGCACCAACTCATACATCCCTATCCCACTCCATGCCGACAACGACTCTTCGTTCCATGCAGTTCACATTCTACTTGGCGCCCCGAATTTCCCCAAGCACACGTCATAGATGCCACAACGGCCATCATCCGATCCAACCCGTCCCATCTCTTTCGCCCAAAGTCACCACCCTCTACCAGGCCGTGCCCTGCTCATCGAGCCATCGAGTGTAACCTTGCCCAAGTACTTTGTACTGTAGACACTCACACACTGAACCCACACTGAAACAAACATCCGCACCGCATACTTCATCTCCGGCGCAGCTCGGGGAGAGACGAGATGAACACTCTTGTCGATGCAATATTAAACCCTCGCACGGAAATCCCCAATGCTTCCAAACTCCATCTGCCCGCATCTACACGTGGGATTCTCTAGCACCATGTTTTCTTCATTTCTGCTGCTGCTGCCCGCTCGGAAATAATTAGCCGCGCGTGTACCTAGCGCCGTGGGTTATCGTGTGCCACCGGCGCCTCCAGTCCCGACGGCAGTCTGCGGCAGATCGACACTTGGGATAATAGAATTAGGACGCAAACCCAGTCTCAACTCCCCGCATGCTTACTATTTTGATCCCCTAGCATCCGCCTATCAGCTCGCAAGTCACATTCTCCTGCGGGTCATGCGTTCTTCATGGCCCTATATCTTGGAGGAGGTAGTACTAGTCACAACAGTCAAGACAACCGACATTGGCCGAGTTCTGATCCCATCATTTAGACTTTTAACCTCAGAGGCTGTAAGATAAGGAGGCACTTGCACCAGCAACCGGCGACAGACTCCCCTGACGACCTTCCACCTCTCTGTGTTACTTTGACATACCTTACTGACCGTCGTCTTACACATATTATCCAGGTCAAAGACGAACAAAGATCACAGTTAGAAGCAGCAGATTGACTCCTTTGATTGTGGCATGGGCCATCCATGTTCAAGAAGAAACCAGTCTATTGTCTAAGCAAGGTCTGAAGTAACAGTCTATCCCAGTACCGGACCCCGGATCTCTTTCCCTGCTGCTGGTCCAGCCTTTCAACCTTGCAGACCATACCAGTAAAACCACCACAGCCCAAGTACTCACAAGTCTTTCCAGAGACTACAAAAGACCACACAAAACAACTCTTCTAAGAACCGTTGGAACCGCCACCAGAGTTACCACCCTTCCCAACACCACTAACAACGCAGCGTCCAAGCGACGGATCACACTGCCTCTGCGGCGACCGGCGCCCGAACCCCCCGCTAACCTGCTCGGCCTCCGCCTCCGCCTCGAGCGCCTCGAGGTCGCGCGCGACGGAGTGCGAGGCGTCGACTTTATCCTCGGCGATGACGTTGCCGAGCTGGAGGTCGTCACCCTCGTGCTCGGCGAGGAAGAAGGTGTTTGCGGGCGCGGTGCCGTCGCAGCTGGCTTGGGCGACGACTTTACCCGCGCTGTCGATGCAGTAGGCTTTTGCGTCGGCGGAGGCGGCGAAGAAGGCTGCGGCGGCGATTTGGATGGTGGGGAGGGTGATGTGTTGGGTCTTCATTTTGGATGTTTAGTTGTTGTGATGGAATGGATAGGCGGAAGAATTGAAGTTGTTGGATTTGAAGAAGGAAGTGAAAGATGTTTTGGAGGATTGCTTTGTGATCAAAGAAGTGATTGTTAAAGTGTTGAGTGAGTGATGAGAAAGAAAAAAGGCCTTCATTTCGGTATCAAGGCCTCCTATTTATGTTACTTGACTGGACATCTGAGGTGGTTGAGATGGCGAGGCCTTCTAGTTACCCACACAGGTAACAGGTTGCGGCGCAAGGAATCGGCCACGCCGTAGGCAGAATTGAGATTCTCACGATTCCCCGATTGTATGTCGCCGTCATCTGACTCAATTATTCCCGAGGTTGAGAACTTTGAACGGCAAGATTTCTATTCTGCGTTGCCCATGTCATGAAGTGGTCTGCCCAGGTTCCCTTTGCTAACGAACATGATGATCGCCATCATCGTGGTTCTACCATACCCAAGGCACGCTTGCAAACGACTCAATAGGGGGTGAACGACAATGTCTCTTACACGCCGGCGGCGTTGCCAAGGACTGGTCTGTGGAGGGTCGGCTCGAGACGCCGAATGCGCAAGCATGTTTCCAAACCAATCTACTCTGGGGTAGTTCTTTCGAAATGTCGCCGTAAGAACAAGGAGGCCTTGGTTCTATCATGTGTTCAAGGCACAACGCAAAGCCAGTCATAAACAAGAATGCATTACGAATCCACCCGGATTTGCGGCTCATCCTACAAGGCCACCCTGATGACAAGGTACCACTTTCCCCCCACAATGTCTACCACGTGTTCCAATAAGTCGTACTAAGGCCCCCAATGATCAATCGGAGGAGGGAACCTGATAGCCGAGTTGCGAGGTATTGTTCGGCGTAACCCGTGTTTCAAAGGGATGTAGATCACGTTGGCTCGGCTTGGACCGATGATACTTCGATTCTTCAACACAAACATGTTGACAACAGCTTTCGTTCTCGCCTCACCTCACTTCGCAAGTACTAGCCAAGACAAGACAAAGCCGGTAATTGATTCAAATTCATGGGGGGAAAATAGTAATTCCCGAGTTCTGAAAAGTTGCCGTGTTTCACGACGATTTGTGCAAGTGTAGAGTCCAGACCATCAACACTCTAGGCACTCTATAACAACAAAACAAGCTTCCGCTAAAGTTTGACAGCCGCCAGGGGTCCTACCAACATCTACATTCTTGTCACTTGTGGCAAGTGTTTCCGGTTCCCCCACGCGAGGTAACATGGAGAAAGAGTTAGCGTCGTTTGTGTAGAGTCATTTTGTACGCGGCTCTTCGCAACGAGCCGAGTATCGCGAAACGTCTGTTCGGACGTCTTTACGTGACTCGTCAAGAAAATGCCGATGAACTCGATTGTTCACAGATTCTCAACTACAGAAACGAGGCAGGTAATGGAAATGTCGAACATGCGAAGCGAAACTTTGCATCAGGTCTTCATGCAATGTTGCGATTACCAGAGACTTGAAGCTTCTTGCTTTTGAGGCCTTCAACTCAACCAGGTCAGAATTATCGGCACACAATACATTCATTCACGAAATGAAAGCCGCAAATAGGCAAGCCACAAACTTGCAACTGATCTCAGATATCACGGCGTAGCTGAGCTTGTTGCCAACCCAGATCGCCACTTCGTGCTGCTCAATGCCAAGACCAGAGCTGTTTAAAGAATTAATATCCTCCAACCAAATCTATTTAGATACGCAGGCAGACAGATCAGATCGTTTTCCTGACTCGGCGACCCAAAGTGCCGGGAGCCCACAGAAGTAATAATACTCATGAGTCGTTTGAATAATACAGCGAGCCAATGAGAGTTTCGCGCCTTAAACAGCTTATATTGCCCATATAGACAGAAAAGGATAGAGATAAGCGCGCAACGTCCGTGAGTTGCAGTTTCAGCTTTTACTTAGGGTGCGACATCCTCTGGTAACGTTACGATTAAACGGCAACGTGTCTCGAGGGGAAGTGGGCAGAGGCCAGCAGGAGGAGGGCAGATCATAACGAGGGTGCCGTCAAAGCTTCTAGAAAGCCTCGTTTGATATTAGACTTCTTCTAGCGGCAAACTTTATTGGGGACATTTCCCATGGGCCATCAAACCCCAACTCAAAATAAGTGCCAGCAGGATCGGGACAATCAAAAAAAGGTGTCCGTAACAGGATTCAGGGTGTTGTAGATTAGGGGTGATCCCCGCCTCATCCGAACTTTGAGGAGGGCCTGGTGACTGTCCAAGGGGGGAGCTGCTGGTGAATAAATATGTGAGACTGCCCTATGGGACAGCGGCCAAGCATCGTTGTGGTTGTCTTTTGAGTTCCTTGTTCTACTCTGTCTAAAGTATTTGTCTAAGCACAACATCCGCACTCCACCGTCCTCTTTCTTTTCCTAATCTGAACCAAAGAAACAACAAAAATGCGCCGTGTTCCTGTAGAAAAGAGGCCAAATGCCACCCGCCTGGTTCAAAGCCAAGGCCTAGTCTTCGCCGACCTCGTGGCCCCCGGCGCCTCAGAGCCGTACTGGCCAGACGACCGCTACTACTCCTTCACCGAAAAGGAGATGCTCCTCCTCGAAGAAGCCGCCAGAGACGTATTCGCAATGTGCTGCGAAGCAGCAGACTACCTCGTAGAGCACCCAGACATCATCACCAAGAAAATGGCCGTCCCCGCCTTCGCTCTGAAACAAATCAAGGCCTCGTGGGACCGCGAACCGGCCTGGGGTAGCATCTACGGCCGCTTCGACATCTGCTTCGGCGGGCTCGCGCACCCGGACCCGCGGCTGCGCGTGCCCAAATTCTACGAGTTCAACGCCGACACGCCGACGTCACTGCTTAAGGCGGCGTCGATCCAGTGGCTGTGGATGGAGCAGACGGGCCACGGAAACGACCAGTTCAACAGCATCACGGAGAAGCTCGTCGAAGGCTGGAAGCGCAATTTGACGCTCATCGACAAGGAGCTGGGGCATAAGCCGACTGTTCACTTTGCCGTTGGCGAAGGCGAGACCACGGGAGAGGATGCTATGAATACCATGCTCCTGATGGAGACGTGCCAGCAGGCAGGGTGGACGACCAAGGCGCTGACGATGGAGGAGATTGCGAAATCGAAAAAGGATGGGCGGTTTTATGATGCACAGGGGGAGCATATCGACGTCATTTTCAAGCTGTACCCGTGGGAGTACATGGTTGATCAGCAATTTGGCGAGGCGTGTTTCGAGGATATGGAGAATATCGGCAAGCGCGACGAGGAGGGGAACTACATTGGAGGAACAGTCTGGATCGAGCCGCCGTACAAGCTCCTGTGGAGCAACAAGGCTGTCTTTGCTGTTCTTTGGGATATGTTCAAGGACGACCCGCGGGGCAAGTGGCTTCTCCCCACATACTTTGACAACGAAGCGCCGGCCTCAATGACGAGCTTTGCGCGGAAGCCCATCTTCGCGCGCGAGGGCGCCGACGTGGTGCTCAAGAAGGACGGCGAGATTCTCCAGGACGCGTCGACGGGAGACTACGGTGCGGAAGGGTACATCGTGCAGGAGCTCGCCGTGCTTCCCGAGTTCAAGGACGCCAAGGGCAGCTCGTGGTATCCCGTGCTGGGTATGTGGTTCGTCGACGGCGATCCGGTGGGCATGGGGATCCGGGAGGATGGCACGCCCATCACGACTAATGCGTCAGTGTTCATCCCGCATTCGATTGAGGATGGACCCGTCAACTACATGAAGCAGAAGATTCCCGATCAGGATGAGATTGAGAATTTGTTGCGGGTTGAGCCATTTTTTGATTCGTTTGACAAGGAGGAGAATGAAATGATGAGCTATATCAAGAAGATTGTGATTTCATAGCGGGGGCTCCCCCAGGGCGAGTGTACTCTTTGGCGTGTTTTTCTTTCGAGGGACTTGGAAGTCTTCTATAGCGGGGCTGAAATTGAGATAAAATAGTTCCTAATAACCTTTGGTTCATAACTTCTGGCATGCTCATTGGCACCGTTCTGTCGACGCCATGCGGTGCTTCCATACTGAGGTCCTGGCCATTAGGAGGTGATCATCATGGGCCACAACAGCCACCATTATGTACTCTTTACTCGTGAAGGCGATCCCTGTGAGATCCGGGACCCGGAAACCGTGTAAATAGCTCTCTTTGACGAGCGCAGAGCCAATGCTGGGCCTTTGGAAGCGAAACTCGTCAGAGTATCGATGCGCAAGGTACTGGGTGTAAGGGTACCCGACCTCGTTGAGAATATAGAATATCATGTACTTCGGTTTCGCTTGCAGCATCGTCAACGGAAGTAGATTTTGACTACGTACGCTGGCTCATCATGGAGAAAGAAGTTTCGAAACGTGCCCGAAAGATCACACGCTTTTGCACGTCGCGAAGCCGACTAACCGGGTGGGTGGGAGGTGCGGGAAGCCAAGCAGGACTCTCCCAGATGCTGCCGGAACCCGGCACGGCGGGGTGATGGGACGGGAGTTGGGGAAATGGAAGCGAACGGGAACAGGGGACCGGGCCCGGCGATGCCGTGTCACGTGTGTCTCCAGCTCCTGGTCCATTACCTCAGCGAAGCAACTTGACGCTTCCATTGATGACCAGCTCCAAGGCAGCTCCAGAATCCCCTAAGCCCATAAGAGCTAGCGCCTTAGTGGGCAGGACCCCTGCACGGACCTGGCCAGCTTGACGGCACCTTTCGTCAGCCTCTCTCAGCCTGCTGAGCCAAACACCCAAAGCGTCGAACCTACCTTACCTGAGCATTTGAACACTTCAACCTTTGACACGATCAACACCACCACGAAATCCACGTCTCTCCATTTCCTCTCCACGGAACCACAACGAGGCAACCTTGTCAATCGACCTCCCACAACATCAAATACCTACCGAAGGTCCACGCCCGTTGCGGACATCAATCCCCGACGACCGGAACACCAACCCAATCACCCCGCAACAACACATACCACCACCAAAAATGGCAGACCGCAACCTCCAACAAGTCCTCACCCAGCTCAAATCAA